AGGACCCATCGACTGAGCGGAGGTCTACGGTAGCCCGTAGGACTGCCGTGATCACGTTCGGGTATAGAGCGACAGGAATGCTTTGCTTGATCAGACGAACATCGAAGCGAGGGACTACTATGAGCAGCGGGTTGGACCCGTTCGTTACTCCTAGCACCTTCTGATTCAGAGTTCCGACGTTCGTCTCTGTATAATTCACAGCTCCATTTGCACGGATCTTCACGAATGGATACGCTTGGTCAGACGCTGGGTTGGTCAGAGCAAACGAGAACGCGTACTGCACCTCCGCCCTCAGCGTCTGACCTGCTGCTACTGCCAGTATCAAGCTTCCTCCCTGAAAGTATCCCGATCCCCCGAAGATCTCTGGGCCCTGGTCTACCCCACTGACGGCGTTGAGCGGGACGCTGGTGGGGATGATGGCGTTAGCAAGATTGCTGATAGTGATGCGCGACTGATCGCTTGAGGCGAGGTTGACGTTGGGCTTGAGGCTGACGGTGATGGTGTTGGGCTCACTAGATATTGGTGTGGCTTGTCGCAATATACTTCTGAAAGAAGGATATACCACCAATGGAGGGTCTGTTGCATTCAGAATGCCATAAATTGTCGTTCCGGGCCTGGTCAAGTTCTGGTAGTCCAGGAACGTGGTTCCAAAGAAAGCGATCCGTACAGGATTAAGAGCTTGGTCGAAAGCTGGATTTTGAACTGAAATTGTAACTGTGTGCAATACGTTTTGACCTATTACTTGTCCAGGACAGAGGAACAGAACCAAGTAGTTCACCTTGTTCGTGACTTGCCACTTCCCGTAACAAAATACATTGGAATCACTGGAGGAAGCTCCAAGCTTGGTTGAGACAGTGAGAAAGGGATATGCTCCGACTGGATATGATTCATAATTCCCCAGTCCTTCAATCACTACAGTGGAATTATCTGACTCGTAGAAATCAGTGGTCGTTGAGAACTGAAGAGTCAGCTGATTGTACAGAAGCGATATGGGAGTTGCTTGTGAAATCGATGCCGTGCCGATCCCAGACACTTTGAGAGGCGCCTGAAGCGATGGAGCACTCTCCATGAGATCCTTGGGGATCGCAATCGGACCGTTGGACTCTATGAAGACAGGGGGAGAATCTTGAGCAAGGGATGGATTCAAGAGCTGAAAGGAGAAGACGTACGAGACGTTGGCTTGCAGATCTTTCAACAGCTGTATCGTCAAAGTGCCTGATGACGAGTTCCATGCCCCAGATTTTGCAAAATCTGAAGCATTCCCCGAACGTATGAAGATGAGTGGCAGGGAAGGTGTGTTTGACGTCACACTTCCTGTCAATCCAACGATCGTGATGCTGGTGCTCAGTGCCTGTAGCACAACATTGCTCTGCAAGGTGACTGTTATGTTGTTCGGGCTTGCTTTGTGATCTGCATAAGCATGTCAATATGTACGACAAAAGTCTCATGTATCAAATGACCTGTGCTCTGACCAATCTTCTTAATGTCAAAATTGCAAATCAACAGCGGAGCTTCATTTCCCTGGCCTTTAGTCATCAGAAATTCATCCAAGTAATTGTATCCCACGGTGTTGATCACTACTGGGGGGGAACTTTGACCCAAGGGCGAGTTGTACACAGTGAAAGAGAAGATCATAACCAAGTTTGAGAAGATGATCCGGTTCACCGAGAAGCTCAGGGAGTTAGAGGCATTGGAATAGTCCGCCTTTCCTGTATTGTTCGCAGCATCTGAAAACAGCAAATTGCAGTACGTCGATCCACACAACGTGCTAGAAGACAGATCGATACTCTTGGGATTAGATGACCCGTACAGATTCTTAAGTGTGACGTTGGCAAAGGGATAAGAAACTCCAAACGTATTGTATATTTGTAAGGTGACAGTGAGAGTATTTATGACATTCCTGTTTGTATCACTCTGACCAATTTTTGCTATCTGGTATCCAAAGATAGCGAGCGGTGCATTCAGATATGTCTGGGAATTTAGTGCAACTCTCGCTACAATGGTTCCAGCTGTGAGCCTTTGATAGGCATTGATGCTTAGTGTTGGAGCTGATTGCCCAGTAGATGGATTTTGTATCGTGAATGAAAGATGATATGTGAAATTGCCAATACTTTGATTGCAAACAAACAGAGATAGTTCTTTCTTGCTGTTGTCCCATGCACCAAACCCAGGTGTTCCTGCGGAATTACAAAAGTGGAGATTGCATCGTTGAGAGTTACATCTGGAATCAGTTGATTTGTCTGTAAGGGCAACAGAGTTGCCGCTCCAAACAGCACCGGAAAAGTTGGAGATGAGAATAACGCCTGTGTTTTCAAAGGCATTCCTGGAATGAGACAAGGGTCAAAAAAGATGAACTTCCCCGAAAACAAAAAGAGACCGGAAAGAAAACTTCAAGGTGATATTATTCGATGCTGATCGCGATGATGTAGATTGAAACGAATCAGATCCAGAGTAAAGCCCGGCGATCAGGAAGGGAGCGAGGTTCCCAGATCCAGATATCATCCTGCTCGTCATGATTTGTGACCAGAGACTGAAGGAAACGGATTCAGCTAGCACAAGAGAGTCAACTCAACGCTTACAGCCCGCCTCTTGAGTCTCGAAAGAGATATATGTCTATCTCAGGAGCATCTTGTCCGACAACATTGTTTGCAAGAACAAAGGAGAATGCATATTCTTGGAGCGCAACAGTAGTACGGAACACGGTGATTGCGAGGCAGTTGCTTGCGAGGTCTTTGTTGTTGACCTTGTAAACTCCATTGTACCATTTGCCTAAGGGGGAGAAATCGGATGTGAAAGTAGATGCCCCTACGTCAGAGAGGGTGAGGGTCTGCGTTGACGCGGTGGTTGCCCCTATCAGATTGCAGATCACGACCGTGTGGAACGAAGTGCTTGATAAGGACGCCCTTGTGCTCAGCCTGACCGTGATTGTGTTTGTTGCCCCCTGACCCGACAAGAAAGGATGAGTAAAAACCTGAGAGTGGAGCACTGAGGAGAGGTACCTGGAAATAGCTTGACTGCGTGATGGTTCTACTCAGAAATTCGTTGATGAGCAGCGGTGCAGTATTCCCGTCTCCCTTCGTCATCTCTGTCTTTGCAACTATGATCTTCGAGTCCCGCAGTACTTGAATCGTGATGTTGGGCGACTCTTGCCCTATCAGTGGGTTCGTGATCTGCAGTTGCACTGTGTAGGTTGTGGCTGCTTGGAAATCCTGCTGGGTTGATAATACCAATTGGTAACCTGACGATGCTGTCAGCCTTTGTCAGAAATAATTCTACAACGATCACTCACTCGTTGTATCCCACGAGTAGACCTGAAAGATTGCAGGATTGAACAGCGATAGCGAAGAAGCACCTTTCAAACAGCACATGGAGAAATATAGCGTCCCCCCTGACGCGGTAAAAGTAGAGATACTCTGCAAGTTGATGGTCAACACGTTGCCCACGGCCCCTGGGTTTGTAGAGGATTGTGAGATGGTCTTGACCTTCAGGTCGGTTATGAACAGAGGCGCATCCACACCCGAGGCCTTGTCCATCAAGAAGTTTTCTGTCTGGAACAAAGTGGCCGTTGACGCCGCGATGTAAAGATCCGGGGAGAACTGTCCTTGGCTGGGATTTTTCATGTCAAAGAAGAAAGTATACAACTTCCCGGAAACGATCTTCGAGGTTGGAGTGAGAATCAAAGTTCCAGACGTTTGCTGCCAGTTGGCAACCGTTCCCCAGTCAGCATTGGAACCGTCGGGATATGCGATCGGAAAGCTGGAGCTTGATTCAGATGCAGTGCTGACAAGTCCTTGTATCGTAAATTTTGAGGTAGGTGAAGTGGGGAAATCGAGTTTTGTAATGATCTGAACTGTGATTCTGTTCACCTCACGTAGAATAGACGTGTTTTGCGAAATATTCTTGACAGCAAAAGGAAATATTGTTTCCAAGGGATTCGAACCATTCGGAACTCCAAAAATTGCCGTATTTGGTGCAATTAGGGTGGCTGTCTGTATTCTTGATCGTAGATATGATGAAGTGGTTGTACTTTGCAGAGCTTTAACATCGCCTCCAAGGTAGATGGTAGAGAATGATTGTTCTTTGTTTGGATTGACCAAGTCAAATGAAATCAGGACCTCTGAGTTGGCTGGAACACCAAAGAAATCAACTTTGAGGATCAAAGTCCCATTGCTGTACCAAACACCTTTGGAAACGTAGAACGAATTAGTTGTTGTGACAGGGAAAGACATATCAGTGGGAGTTGCACTTTCAAAGAGACCGGACACTGTGATTGTTGAAGCTTCTGGCATATCACTGGTGGCAGAAAAGCGAATGTTGATGCTATTTGTTGACTTTGCCAAAGGATTGTCTTGGCTGGATGTAGTTCAGCAAGAAGCGACGAAGAACATGGTCATACCTTATTTCTTTGATGGCAAAAACAGTTTGTTCAACAAGCAAAATTTGTGCTCCGCCTTGAATTCCAAGAATGTCTGAGAAGTCTTTTTCTAGTGGTTCGCTTGCAAAATACGAGTTCCCACGACCGTCAGTTCTAACTAGGGTGCCTTCGATCGCTACAACTGGAGATGTCTGTGCAGAATCCGGGTTCAGAATCTATGACAGGTGTTAGTCTAGTTTCCTTGAGGACTGTTTGTTTACCCTGAAAGATAGTGTGTATACATTCGAAGAGCTCAAATCAAACTTAACTGCTGCTTGTAGAATTCCTGGATCTTGGATAAAAACTCCACAAGTACCAAAGTAAGCCAATGAATATGAATCTGAAAGTATTTCCAGACAATTTGTATTCTCACTCCCAGCTTTATATAGCCCTGATGAAGTGATCTTAGCACAATTATAACAAGGTCAGAGCTGAAATCACCTGTTATATTCAGAACAGATCCTGCAGGAATATTGCAGTTGGCTTTCAGCTGGATCAAAATGGTGTTGAGCACGCCGACTAGAGGGACGAATTGAGATACGAATGCCTGTAGAGGACCTTCAGACACCAGCATGTCAAGAGCAGATCATCTTGCCGTGGTGAAGTATGGTTGGATCACGTACAGCGGCATTCCTCCTAAGTCCACACCATAGACAGATAAGGCGCTGCTTGTCACCAGTTGAAAACTGTTTGACCCTGAGCCATTTGCAGCGATGGAGATAGAAGGGGCGCTTTGACTAGTCGCTGGGTTGACAACAACAAGAGAGAACGCATAGGTCGTGCCCTGAGCGATGCTCTGCGCGGACTTCAAGGGCAACACCAGCAAATCCCCTTCCCAATAGACGCCTGAGAACAGACTGCTGCCGATGTTGCTCCCCGACGCCTCAATCCCGACCGTCTTCTCTGATCGTACGCTTTGCATGTTCTTGAAGAACACAGCAGAACCCTGACTACCTTGGATATTCAAGTTGGATGCGAGAGTGACCGACAGAATGTTCAGCCCCCTGGTCAGCGGGAAATCTTGATTCATGCTGGCACTCGAAAAATCGTTGGCACGACCGGGAACACAAAGGGTGAGAGCAAGGAGGAGCCGTGCTGTCAGGCAGGCATCCCCCAGCATCTTCGTCTCAGCCCCCTCCTCCTCTCTTAGCCTTCTTCTCCTTCACTGTCATGCCGCCAGTTTCTATCTTGACAACCTTGACAGGAAGCGACGGGCCCCCCTCAGCTCGGAGGTTGGGCCTCGGCGCCCCGGCGGGGGCCCCGGGCCCCGGGGCCCAGCCCGGCGGGCGAGGCCTGGGCCGCCGCCTACGGTACTAGCCCGCAGTGTCGTGGGTGACTGACTAGCTTTACTCAGTATCAGGATCATAGTCTACAAGTCTGCCTAAAGACGGGGGAGCCTGTGTCGCAGTCTGAGCCTACAGAGAAGTTACCTCCCGCTTGAAGGCCCTCACTAAGTGAGTGCAGTTGGCCCGTGCGTTAGTGTCAGGGTCAAGTCTCCTCTACTCTCCTGACCCTCTTTACCCTGATTGTCTTCGTACAACTGGAACTTTCAGGCTTTAACTTAACTTTGAGTACTACCCGGGTCCCGACCCTCACCAGGGATAAACTGAATTTTGAGCACCGAGGCGGGCCCTTTTTAAGGTCTCCTTGGCCCCCATTTCGGAATGGCGGCAGGGGCTGGGTTAATGGCGTTCCTCGTCCTGCATGGTGCATTCGACCCTCTGAGCACGAAGAGCAGGCATGTTTCCTCCTCGTGCTTCTTTGCTCCCAGACCTCGAACCATGTCTTCTCTCTTGATGTCAAGCGATATGAAGCGAGGCAGCCATGCAGGACTCAAGTATTCGTGCGAAGTTTGTGGCTGCTCATTCGCTCGCCTAAAGAGTCTGAAGGAGCACGAGCAAGGAAAGCAGCACGAGATGAATCTCAAAGCAGTCCCTCTCATAATTTCTTCATGCGCTGCCTCGTTCAAAATTGCTGAGGGCGTTCTGACCAAGGAAGAAATAAAGCGATGCATAGCGAGCTCATATCGGGGGGATGAAACGCTGCCCAACGACGGCGTGGAACTAATCACAGAGAGTCAGGTAGCATTAGAAGTAAAGGTTCTAACCCATCAATTGTGATGAAATTTATTGTCAGATCGTTGCAGCATGGAATTGGTTGGACTTGAAGACTTTCCCTTCCATCGATGCCGCCTCTCCTGTGGTCCTTCTACCGAGCTTCTCTACTCGCATTGATGCATTTTAAGCTACAGACTTATGCAGACCTTTCTCACGTATCAAAAGCAAGATTTTTCAAGTATTTGTCAGAGTTGATACCACAAATCTTTGGAATCCCTGAAACTTTCGCACTCATCAACTCGCGGTGGATACCCTTCTCTCAAACGTGGTTTCATGATTGACATGTCGAGCAGTCCCTTTGAAAAGCAAAAGGTTTTCGACGTGTTTGTATGTGGCGAATTGTTTAAGCTCATTGAAGACCTCGTTGTAGCGATTGGGCGGTGACGTCATGCACTATCGCACGACAGAAATGATTTTTTAACCACGCAGGGTGCAATCTTGTCGAAAGATCATCATTTTATCATGCCTTGAAGGGCTCCTTCCGTTCTTGCTCAAATGCCGCTTCCCCAAGATTGAAATTGTTGTTTGAGGCTGCTGTGAAACTCTCTGATCTTCAGGCAGGTCATACAAGGAAACTCACTTGAGCAGAGCACCGGCAGCTGGATCAGCACCTTCTGTGAAGTCATTGATGCTGCAAACGGTGTTTGGAGCAAAGAAGATGTCAGCATGAGCTTAACCATGAGGAGTAGTCGTTGCTGGAAAGACGAGCTTGACCCTGAGACTCTGGTCTTTTGTGGACGGAGTTCGAACCACGAAGTCTTAGAATGTATCACTGAAGCGAAGAAAAAGAGCAGTATTTGGGCTGTTGTTCCTGACCATGACGAGAATGGATTCTTCAACAAATTTAGAGCAAACCTACACAATGATTCTTTTACATCCGACATTGCATATGCTCTCAGTAGCGGAGTTCTTGCACACAGGTTAGTCATCCAACCTTCATTATTGTCCATGAACGATTTGTTACCAGATTTCAAGGGCAAATGATATCAGAGATAGACAAGGGGTTGAGTGACAGATACCTCTTCATTGCAGGTGGACTGAATACTAGCACTAAGCCTTTCGGCATTGGAAGAAAAGTTCGCAGCAAAGTGCGATCACAGCAGTGAGAAAGATTTGTAAATAATTGTATCGTTTAGACTCTTTTAAAACTGTTTATGAATATTGAGGAAAAGGTGAAGCAACATTCTCAAAACAAAGCGAACGGATTCTTCGTCGTTACAAGCGCAATGGCTGCAATGCTTTGGTCCATCAGAAGATAGCACATCGACGAACAGCTTCAACTCCGAGATTCGCATCGGAAGGGAAATACAATTCACAATGTCCTTTCAAAAAATAGAGATTAACTCCAGAGACCAACCTGTGGAACCTTGTATCGCGAAGTTTTGTACATCTGAGCAGATCATCGTGCACGTTCAGTGTAAAAAACGGTCAAGCCTTCAGACTCGATGATTTTGCCTCTTGGGCACGGGAGCAAATATTTGCACCCTCCGATTTTTGCAGTCAGCCACAACGATATTTCCACTCTCATCGACGGCAACTCCACCCGGCACGTTCAACTCACCGAGTTTCGAGCCACTAGAACCGATTGATCGCACAAACCTCCCGTTGGCATCAAGTACTTGCAGCCTATGATTCTTAGCATCCGCTACAACAATGTTTCCCGCCTCATCCAATGCCAAACCCATGGGGCAATTGAATTCCCCTTCGCTCTCTCCTTGCCGCCCCCAAACGCACACGAAGTCGCCGTCGTCAGTAAAGACCTGCAGGCGATTGTTCTGACAATCAGACACAACTATTCTCCCGCTCTTGTCTACAACCACGCCAACTGGGGCGTTAAGTTCCCCATTGCCATCTCCCGCCTTCCCGAATGTCCTGAGGAAGGTACCATCCGCTGCGAAGACCTGTATCCGATGATTACCCCAGTCTGACACGAAAATGTTCTGTTTTCCATCGAAAGCAACTCCCATAGGATACATGAGTTCCCCATCCCCCTTGCCCTCTCGCCCCATTGTACACGCCATTCCCCCATCCTTGGCAAAAACTTGCACTCGATGATTTCTAGAATCGGCAACAGCAAAACGTCCATGCGAATCGATCGCAATGCCGACCGGAAAGCTAAGTTGTCCATCGCCATTTCCTCTCGAGCCCAACGTCTTCTGTAGAGTCCCATCTGTTCCACTATAAATCATGACCTGATGGCTGCCATAACTGGTGACAGCGATCGTCCCGTCGTCAACGATGGCAACATATCGTGGCTCTAACCCGGCTTCCTCTATTGCAAAGACTTCCCCAGCTTGCATCGGCCTAACACTTGTCTTGACACTCGCCGCATCAAGAATCTTATGGATTAGAAGATCATCTAAGCCATGCATGATCGAAGAAGCCCCCAGACGTCTTTGCGCCACCATGGCAAACGCCAGCTTCATATCTTGAGACAACTCAACCACCATACCACTTCAAAATAAAGCCCTTATCGAAATTCCAATTAAATTTGGAGAAGTTGCCAGTATTTCAACACATCAAAGCTTGGCTACCGCATGAGATGTCAAGTATCAGAATCGACTCTGCGCCGAGCCTCTGCTGTTCCTAACTTGACACTGTCCTGCATCAAAGTCAGAGAAAATCAACTCCGAGAATCTTCTGAGCGTACCAGCTGAGCATAACCAATGATAGCAGCATCTTCGTCCTATTTCACGATCAAGGAGAGCCAAAGGCAGATCACCAAGAATTTGCTCAAATTGCCCTCAAGGCCACCACCATCTCAGAGGTTCAAGTGGGCTTGTTGGAAGCTCGAAGAGGTAGGGAAATGTTCCAAGCGTTGTCTGCTGTTCTTCCTCCTTGTCTCCCTGCTCTCTCTCTCCCTCTGCTTGCTCACCCTCAGCCTCTCCTCCTCACCTTCCATCGCTCAACCCCCATGAGTCCGCTCCCGTCGACCCCCCTCCTTGAACCCCCTTTAAAACCACATGGACCCTGTACCCCATGTGTGTGAGTTACCCAACTCAAACATATCACCCTACCTCCTATTCGGCCCCATTTCATTGGAAGATTGGGGGTCCCCACACGGTACCCTCAAGCTCACCTCCTACCTCCTACCCACCCCACACCCAATTGATCCTATCTTGCTCTACCCTACCCCTACTATTCCCCTCGGCCTCCACACCCACCCCGTTTGGATTACTCATCCCTTTGGCTTCAAGAGTTTGGTGAATTTTCTTTTGTAAACTGAGATTTTCAAATATTATGGTAAAATTACATATGATCTGGGCTAATTTTGATAAACCTACCCACCTTCCCATTGCACGCAAACTCCACCCCTCATGGAATATTTCCACTACCCCCCTTTCCCTCCACCCCTTATGATGCTTTTTGGACAACCCGTACTCATAAAAACCAATCATTTTATGTTTTCCCCGCCTACCCCCTCTGACCCAGTTTCGCCCGAAAACTATGAAGTGAGGCGGACTCGGGAGCTCTAATTCCGATGCATTGAAAGGGTGGTGGATCGAATTATTTTTTTTGATACCATGCCCCTCAAACTGATAGCAATTCAGGGGTAGGGGTACAAAAATGTCTATCCAATTTTAGATGAGTAAAAAGTGACGTCAGATTGTTCGATCACGTAATTTGGAAGCAGAAATGGCTGGAGCGGTGCGACGGGGCCACCGCTAGGGAGGCAGAGGGCAGGCAGGAGGCGGAGAAAGTGCCGAGCCCGGAGGAACAAGAGGAGACTCCTTCATGCCTCCTGAGACGAACAAGGACTTCGAGTTCAAGTCCCTCAGCGTGTTCCCCTCAAATCCCCCGTCCTCTGAGTTCCAGTTTCTGGTCAGAAGGGACGAAGCATGGCACGAGTACGACTTCTTCCGGGCTGAAACGTGGAACTCTCACACCCTGAAATATGAGGAGAGAAAAAGTGGCATTCGATCCGTCATCACAAAGACCGAGACGAGAGGTCCGTATTCGAGGCCCTTCACCGTGTATTTTGTGCACACCAAGACAGCGTTCAGTGTGAAGGGAGTTTGCAAACGTTTCAGCGATTTCAAAGAGTTAGACCAAAAGATCAAGAAGCAATTCAAGAACTTCCAATGTCCGTTCCCTCCTGACAAAGTATTCAACGCTCTGCAACCTGAGTTCGTGAATGAGAGGAAAAAGCAGCTACAACGTTACCTGGACGATGCTCTTGCTGTCCCCGAGATTGCTGCATATCCAGAACTACACAGCTTCCTCAATATTCCCGAATATAACGACTACGTCTCCCAGGAGCAGGAACAAGTTAAGAAGGAACAAAAGCGATTCTCGAATCCAGAAAGCGAAAAACCTGAAACGTATCTCCGTCTGATAGATCACGCCAAGTCATCTGGTGACCGAATCAGCGAAGCACAGGCATTCAATGCCTTGGGCATTTTGTACTGCGAGATGGGATTGGATCCGCAGGGCATAGAATGCCTTGAAAGCTCGCTCGAGCTGTGCAGGGTGGAAGGTGACCAAGATGGTACTCGCATTCTGTTGTCCAATCTCGCTTGTGCGCATAACAAGCAAGAGTGTCACTCTCTTGCTCTCTCGTGCTTGAAGGAGTGCGACGATCTGCAAGGCGAAGATGCGCAAGCACAGGCACAAACCAAGATCAAGTTGGCTCTGACCTCCTCAGCAAACGGCGAGCAGTACGAGGCTGTTGAGTTCTGTTTACGTGCTCTTGAACTGAGTAAGAACCTCGAGGACCAGGTCCTCGAAGCCACCTGCCTCTTCACACTTGGCACTATATATTACGATGCTGGAGAAGTGCGCCAGGCGGTAGAGGCTTTCGAAAGGTGTCTGGTTCTGCGAAGGAAGACAAGGAACAAGATTGGTTTAGCTGAAACGCTGAATAAGCTTGGATTGACATACTGTGATATTGGATACGACCTGAGGGCGATCGACTACTTTGAACAAAGTCTCGTGATTTGTGAGGATAGTGCAGATCTGCATGGCCAAGCTGTATGCTTGCAACACCTTGGCAATGTGTTCAAGATGCAGAAAGATAACAAGCTGGCAATAGACTTTTTTGAGCGATGCTTGTCTGTCCGTGAAAAGATAGATGATAAACGTGGATGCGCGGATTGTCATGAGAGGTATGCAATTTTTAAAGATTGAGTCCTCCTGATATTCCTTGCAGTCTTGGTTTAGTGTTTTATGGACTAGGGAACTTCAAGATTGCAACAGAACATTATGAAAAAGCCTTGTCGGTAAGAATCGCTCTAGGAGATAGAGCTGCGCAGAGTGAATGCTACAAGAGCCTTGGAACAGCTTATATTCGGATGGAAGATACAGGAAAAGCAGTGCAATCCTTTGAACATTGCTTGCAATTGCAAAAACAAATAGGAAATGACAATGGTATTGTGGATGCACTCATTTCCTTGGGGCTTGCATATTTCAAAGCTGGCGACAATCAGGCTTCAGTCAAACATCTTGAAGATGCCTTGATGTGGTTCGAATTCTTGCCTGAGGAGGATGCTGCTTCCAGCACTGGCAAAGCTGTGTGTCTTGACCACCTTGGAAACGTTTACAGTAAAATGGGGAGGCCATCAAAGGCGGTTGAGCACTACAAGAAGAGCTTGGTTGTCAAAAGAGAAATCAATGACATGACCGGCGAAGCTCGTTGTCGAGTTCGCATTGGCCTGGAATATTTGTCGCTTTCCAACCTTCAAGAAGCATATTATGAATTTGAATCCGCGCTGAAATTGTTCGAAAAGCTTGAAGATGATCATGGCATAGCCATTTGCTACGAAAACTTAGGTCTACTGCTTATTTGTCAATTCGTTCCGCTTGCTTGCTAAGCCCATGAACAGGCGACACTTTGATGAAGCTGGGTGAGTTGCAAGAAGCGATCATCGCGTATGAGAAGTGTTTACCGATCAAGGTGGGTCCAGTTTCCAGAGATTATGGAGTCTTATGTTCATGGCAGGTTGAGACGTGGGACAAAGTTGGGGAGGCGCAATGTTTGGACAACTTGGGGCTGGCTCACTACTCTTTGGGTGATCTGAACAAAGCAGCCGAATATTACGAACAGAGCATGGCGATTTGGAAGTCTGAGGGTGAAAAGCATGCGCTGCTGACGTGTTGTGAGAGTCTAGGGGGAGTCTGCTTCCACCTGGAAGAGCACCTGCGCTCCATCGAATGCTACGTGCAGTATTTGACCCTGTCGCAAGAGGTTGGAGATGGTTCGTCCGATCACGAAATCTTGTACAGACTTGGTCTCTCTAATGCTGCCATCGGTGAATACTCCGTCTCCCTTGAGTTTCTCCGACAAGCCATGACTTCGTTCATTGAGCTCGGAGACATCAAAAACAGAACAGCTTGCCTCCAGAACATTGGTATGGTGCAAGGAAAGCTAGGACAGTTCTTTGAAGGGTTGAAATCACTTGAACAAGCTCTGAAGCTCAACATGGAAATGGAAGAGCAACAAGGCATTGCCATGTGCTACAAGGAACTTGGTCTCCTCTACTACGATGAAGGGGACAATGAAAAGGCAAAAGAAAGCTTTGAGAATGCCCTTAGGTATCTGACAGAAGCGCGTGACAAGCCAGAGATTGCTACTTGCAACATGCACATCGGGGGGACTTTGGCAGCTGCTGGGGAACATAAGGAAGCCATCCAGTACTACACCACTTCCCTTGTTGTTGCAGATACCCTACACAAGGAATGGCCTCTGAAGGCAGAGTGCCTGAAGCAAATGGGTTGTTGCCAGGCTGCTCAAATGGATAACGCCGCTGTCCACACGTTCAATCTTGCCCTCGGGCTATGGAAGGAGAAAGGCAATAGAGCCGGTGAGGCAAACATCCGGATGAGACTCGCCGAGTGCCACATGGCGTTCAAGCGCTATGAACGAGCTGTCGATGAGGTGAACTTGTGTCTGGAGCTCAGAAACCATCTCGGCGATCACCGAGGGCAGGCAGAATGCTATTTTCAGCTGGGCAATGCCCACGGAGTGCTTGGAGATTTCATGGCGGCAGAGGAAAGTTACACCAAGTGCATCGCCCTGAGACGCGAGCACGGCGACAGGTACGGCCTTGCAGATGCCATATCAGCTATCGGGCAGTTGATGGTTGCCAACGGAAAGGCATTGGATGGTCTAGAAAGTCACAAAGAGGCGCTTGAAATCAGACAAGGGCTGGAAGACAAGGTGGGAATAGCTGAGAGCTACAACAATCTTGCAGTCTGTTACAATCAGACGGGGGACCAAGAAAGCGCGTTGAGATATTTTCAGAGTTGTCTGGAATTGATGCAGCGGGGAAAAGACTCTGTCAGGGAATGTAAATGCCTACTCAATATGGGTGCATGCTATGCTGATCAAGGAGACTTTGCAAAAGCGATTGAAATGTTTGAACAAGCCTTGCTGGTCTGCAGGGCGTGCGGGGATTTTGAGGATGAAGCCGCCTGCTTCTGCAACATCGGAAGTGCAAATTTGCAGTTGGGGCTTATTGAAAAAGCGCTTGAATGCTACGACATTGGACTGAGAATTCTGAAGAAACTTGGCGACAAGAAGGGAGAAGGAGAATGCTTGCACAACATGGGAGCTGCCAACTTTAACAACGGCAGCACTGAGACAGCAGTGAAGCTCTTCGATGAAGCCTTTCAGATTTTCCGCTCCTTGAAGGACTCCAAATCAGCCACCATGTGCCTCAACAGCTTGAAATCAGCTTACATCCGACTTGGAGACGCGTCGCAAGCAAGTCGCTGTGTTCAATTGATGCAGGAGTACTTTCCTGACAGAGACATACAAAGTGTCACTGAGCAGCTGGAGCTGGAGCTGGAGCACGCAAAAGAATCGAAGGATCTCGAGCAGCAGGCGCAGCTGCACTTGAAACTGGGAGACTCGTATGAGAAACTCGAGCATCTCGCCATGGAGCACTACGTGGCTGCCCTGGGGATCATGGAAGAATTCGGAAACCTGGACGGAGTCACAGAGTGTCACAAACGGATCGCCAACATCCAAATAGGGCAGGCAGACTTTGCGGGGGCTCTTGAATCCCTGGCTCATGCGGTAGCTCGGTTCGAAAGCGACCAGACCTGGAGAGACGGAGGGACTGAGAGCCTGATCTACTACGCCTCCATCTTGTACTCGATCGGCATCTGCCAACTGGCGTTGAATCAGAACGAGGAGGCCGTGGGTGCGTTCCAGCAGAGCATTTCACTGAGAGAAGAGGCGGAGGACGAGGAAGGCATTGAAGAATGCCACAATCAGCTAGGTGTTGCCTACTCCAGAATCGGAGACACGCGACGGGCAATGGCGTCTCTCTCTCGAGGTGCTGGTGGTCAATATCTCGCCGTTGAGGACACTCCGGGGAAAGTAGTGGGGGTGAGCAGCTTGGCGTCGACTTTGATGACTCTCAAGCAGCATGAAGATGCTCGCAAAACAATCGAAAAGCATGAGACAAACCTTGCAATCTACAAGACAAGGCACGACAAGAAGAGTGAAGCAAATTGTCACAACGTCCTTGGTCAGATGTACATTCAGACGCAGCAGCTGAACAAAGCTGTGGAGGCCTTCGACCTGTGTCAGAAGATCAGAGAGTCTCTCAACGACACGGACGGCATGGAGATTGCGATGAAACGAAAAGGCTGCGCCCTGTATCTCAGTGGGGACATGAGAAGTGCCGTTGAGGTGTTGGAGGAATACCTCTCCCTAGTCTCTCAGAACGTCGACAGGCGAGTCTTCATTAGCAAGAACTTCGAGAACTCTCGGCGAGAGGAAGTCGACGCCTGCTGCGTGCTGGGCAGCGCGTGTTACGAGATGGGGGATTTGCCGTCTGCCTCTGAGGCTCTGAAGCGAGCCCTGGCCCTCTCGCACGAGTCGGGTGATCGAGCTGGTGAAGCAAAGTGCCTGATGGCGTTCGGAGAGATGTACTCCAAGATCAGGGCGAACAAGCGAGCGACGGAGCATCTGGAACGAGCTCTCTCGATCTGCATCGAGCTGCAGGACAAGTGCGGGGAAGCCAAGTGCGTCTCCTTGCTGGGCTTCCTGCACTATGCTCGAGGGGATACGAGCGCGTGCACCAAGTGCCTGGAAGAAGCCCTGGCGCTCTGCAAGCAGAGCCTCATCTCGTCCTCTGAAGCCGAGTGCCTCATGAACATCGCCGACATCCATTGCCGACAGGGCGACATCGTGCAAGCAAAGGCGCACTATCAACGAGCTTGCAAGCTCTGCAAGGAGCAGCTGGACTCTATGGGAGAGGCCCGAGCTCTGTGTGGACTGTCAGAGACGGACTTGTCGCTGGGGGACTCGTATGCAGCCATCGACGAGCTACTAGAGTCGCTCGCCATCCGGAAGAAAGTCGGGGACAGGAAGGGAGAAGCTGAATGTCTCCGTCGTCTCTCCCATGCTTACACACTTGTGGGCAAACTGTCAACCGCCAGGAAAGTCACGGAGCAGGCAAGACAACTTGCGATGGAGAACGGCATAGCGTTGGATGATGCCAAGGCTGACATGTTGTTGGCGAAGATTGACATGGAGGCGGGAGATCTTGATTCAGCAATCGAAGGGCTGCAGCGAGCGAGAGACATGTATGCCAAGACAGTGATGCTGGGAAACAACAAGGTCTTCATCGATCCTCACATGCTGGGGCAGTGCTTAGGGGAGCTGGGAAACGTCTTCATGTTGGCCTCTAAGTTTGATCGAAGTCACGAGGTGTACGAGCAAGCAGAGCAACTGCTTGAAGCTGCCGAAGAGATAGACGAGATCTCAAATCTCCGATGTCGCATGGGCCTTCTTGCCAGCGTTCGCAAGGATGGAAGTACGAAACCGTCGGCAGAGATGTTTGAGCATGGCTTGCAGAAAATCGCTCAGAGCTTACAGGCGTTCGAGAAGATAGGAAGTAGGAAGGGCATCGCGCGGTGTATCCTCTATACCGGCATCGTGTTGTGCCGCAAGGGGGAGCAGCAGAAGGGCATGCAGAAGTTGAGGTTAGCGCTGGACATCTTCAAGGAGTTGAGCGACAAGCGGAGCATGGCCGAGACGTTCCTCGAGATGGGGGTCCTGAGCTCGAGCTCGCCTCAGGGTGTGGTCTACCTTGAACAGAGCTTGATGCTGCGGAGAGAAGCCTCGGATCTGGCCGGGGAGGCGAAGTGCCTGCGCTCGCTTGCTGACCTCCACTCGTACCTCGGCAACTCCCGCGCAAGCATCAAAGTGAGTCCCCTCGGTGTCGTGACTTGCTTGTGACTTGTTCTCAGTGTTGGCAAGACTGCCTCAGCCTCAAGAAGGAGCTGCAAGACAACGCGGCGATCAAGCAGTGTCTGGAGCATCTCTGTGCTCTGTACATTCAGGTACTTCACGTTGAACCCCCTCCGCTCTCTGACTCTCTCACTTGGCGACAGCTGGAGGACTACTCGAGAGTGTCGGACTACATCTCTCAGCTCCGAGACATCGCGCATTCACAAAGGGACCATGACTCTGAAGCACAGGTTGCTTCCCCTCTCCATCGTGCCTCCCCCCTCACCTTGGCTCCCTAGGCGCTCTTGCTGCTGGGGAAGTGCAACTTCAACCTTGGAAGCACCTCTGGCGCAGAAGAGAACTTCAAGCTCGCTCTCCGGATCTGCCAGGAGAACTCGAGGTAGGATCAAAGGCCCTCCACGTTTCTGCCGCCTCCTGACCTCCTGGTCGCTTGCAGTTCGGAGCAGCTGCTGGTCAGAGAAGCCGAATGCCATGACAAGTTGGCCCAGGTTCCGCTCCTCCCTCCCCCCTCGCTTCTTGTCCCGTTCCTTCGCTTTCTGCGCCTTATTGGCTCAGAAGCTGAGTTTGTTGTCAGTTGTATCTCGACCAAGGTCGCACCAAGGAGAGCCAAGTCGAGCTGGAGCAAGTCCAGAGACTGAAGAAGAAACTGGGCAAGGACATGCTGAGGTATTTGCTGCCGTCACACCGACCGGTCATCTCAACTTGTTGCTTTGTAGGGGCATCTTGAGCAAAGTGGAACGACCGAACTCGCTGAAGAAGGTGAGGAGGGATGGGAGGAGGGATGGGAAGGTGGATGGGAGGAGGGATGGGAAGGTGGATGGGAGGAGGGATGGGAAGGTGGAAGGTTCTTGACTGTTTCGTCTGCCCTGCACAACCAGCTCTTCCACCTGAAGATGAAGACATGATGGCTCGGTCTGCCGCGAACTTGTTCTGTGGAGCGTTTTTCCCTCCAAGAGCGTGTCTAATCTGGAGATGGCCATGGAGCAACATCGCGGATAGTTTTTTGAGTTCCACATGCATATGTATTGATTACATGTACGTTCAAGCGAAATGATCCCATCGATCGGTGAAGCAAGATGCTTGCAGTACTTCTTTCATAAAACGAATATCATATGAGGTGACATCTCTTAAACATACTGGTTGGTGAGAGCCTCAGTCTCCTCGCTCTCCTCAACTCCGAAAGAATCTGCTCACGAGCCAGGTCAAAATCCTTCCTCCCCTCCAACACACGTCTGACCGTAGTTGAGCAAGAAGTAGAGGCCGAAGCCGACAGTGGCAATGAGGTCGGTGACACAGGCGATGCCAACCTGGAGCAACTTTCACAACGAGCAAGGCTCTCGGAGCAAGAGGACGCTCACCTCCTGGGAGAGGCCGAGCGCAGCCGTTCCTTCCGATCCGAGGAGCCAGAGGATGGGGAAAACTCCGGTAGCGAACATGGTGATGTAGATCAACATCTGCTGGGCGGTCACATCAAGTGCAAGGAAGGTGTGAGACAGACCTTGGAGTTGTCGGTGGCATACTCGGAAGAGAGGATGCTTGCAAGCTGAACGATGACGAGCACAGCGAAGATGAAGCTCAGGAACCACCACATGTACTTGTGAGATCCGACAGACACGGACCCGATCCAGCCAGCCATGAACATCACGAGGTCGTAGCCAACAAGAGCGATCATTTGAGCGTTGTCAAGCTTGAACACAATCGAGATGTCGACGAGCACAAGCTGCACGATTGAGGAGAAAGACAGTCAGAGCTCATGAGGTAAGTGCAAGCGACGTACAGGATAAGTGATGAGGTGACCAAGATATCTCCCCCAGAAGATCACGCGGGGTGTTGTGTCAGAGGTCTTGTAGGTGACTCCTAGGCCGCTCCACATGGAGTAGTAGGCGATGGCTCCTGAGCAGGTGAGCAAGAAGGTGACCTGCAGTTAGAGAAGTTCAGCTGAGCTGTGGCGGCAGGAACAAACTTCACCGCATGGCTGAGGGACGTCTTCTCTCTCATGTAGTTCAAGGCGTAGAAGCAGATAGCTCCAATGAACCTAGCACACCCCGTCAGCACCTGCACATGCCGCGCGAGCACTTCATCACATTCCAATCGCCCCCAACAAGAGGAAATGCTTCACAGAGTTGGGATAGTCTTCAGGGAACGAGACTGCGCCAGCTCCTGAGTCGGTCTGGTTTCCGCCAGCCGCGGCAGTGCCGTTGCTCTGGAGAATCTCTAGAAACAGCTGAGGCATGTTCACTCTGTGATTCATCTGCGTTGAGAGCAACAGTCAGACCGAGCATGCAATCATACCATCCTCTATCAACAAAAGCCCGTCTGCTCTCTGATCCTCAGTGAAAGCAAACTGCAGGATCTTACTGTGACATCAGCGTTCTACAGTGCCTAACGTGAGCTCGAACATGCATCTGGCGGACTAGGAGAGGACATCATGGGAAGGTTGAAGATGGTCAGGAATAGAAGACGAGGAGACAGGAACGCAGAATGAAGTCTCAACCCAAGGACCTGGTTAAGACTCCAAGGCTACTCCAGCTATATAACGAGGTTCCGTTCCAGTGGAGCGAACAAACATCAAGGAGAAAGATGAAGTGGATGGGATAGATGATGGGCGAGGCAGAGAAGAACGACAGAGGGGGGTAAAACGAAGACAGGCACGGGGGGACTGAGGTACGAAGCTGGAACGATGAGACCACGAGGAGCATGTGTGAAGGGCAGGGAGACGGGGAGAGAGGTATGCCCGAGGATCCAGAGACAAGGTAATGAAGAAGTGAGGCAGGAGAAGGGAAGGGAGACAGGATGAGATCCTCCATAGAGCATGCGCGACCCGATAGGATCCATCGCCATAAAATGGTATGAGTTCGCTCCCCCAAAATAGATCGAGTATCCGTTACAAACAGTTTTCTTTTTCAAGACCGTTTCTTGATTTGTGAAGCCGTTGCACAGGCACTCTCCGTTACGTGCCGTTGAAACTTGATTCCAGCAGGATGGCAGGCAAGAGGCGGGGAGAGGGGAGAAGGTGAGGTAGCGCGACGATGAGAAGACGAGAGCAGGAGCAGGAGAGGAAGAGAGATGAGAAGACGAGAGCAGGAGCAGGAGAGGAAGAGAGATGGAGAGGACGAGTGATGGTGCCCTAGTCATCGTGTGGGTGACTGACACTTGAGGCTGTTTGCCCTCACCTGCACCCGAAGAAACTCCAAACCGGAATAGTTTTGACTTGCTGTACTGGACGAACAAGACGCGAGGAGAATAGGAGGTTGATTGCGCCCATAGCTCTCTCCATAGGAAGAAAATGAATGACGAGGAACGAGCCAGGAAGCTCGAGGAAGGCAAGAAGAAACTCCAGAAGTAAGTGTCCATGCATATTCAACTTGAATTCCCAAATCGTTCTTGACCATTAATTTGCAACAAATCAGATTTAGAGCAAAATCCAAGCAATTCAAGTCAGTGGATAAGACGTCTGTACCTTTGGAAACAAGGAACAATGCTAGCAGCGAAGTGGATGTTTCTGTGGGAGATGGACGGCCAGTAAATGAGTCCAATGGTCACGACAATCATCCCTCAGAACGCAAGGCACAGACTTCTGCAAGTGCAGGATCTTCACAAGCTGTCGAGGATGACATCAGTCTCGCCGGAAGTAGCAAGCCTGGAACTGTCCTTCACTGGCTTGCGGAGAGAAATAAGCGGATGAAGGTCGTCGCTGCTGCTACTGCAGAGTTGGAGCAAGCTGTTATTGGGCTCACATGTGATCCAAGACTGTCAGCATCGCAGACTTCCTCTGTGAAACGAGTGAACATGAACTCCCTGATGCGAACAGCACATGACTTGGTCTTGAGGGTTCAATGTTGTAACGTGTCCCCGGCAACAACTGTGAAGGAGGAAGATGAATTTCCTTTTGTTGCAGATGTTCTTGCAGACCTGCGAAAGCTAAACTCATCATTGTCCAAGATGTCCAGAGAAATCGAGCCAGTACCAAAGGGAGTGAATGGCAGTGACGATCAAGTAGATTCTCTCACTAACGGTGAAAACCCTCCTCATTCAGGTCCTGAGGGACCCTCGCCAAATCAAAGCACGAAATTCGAAAACTCTTTGGCAGACTTTCTGAATTCTTCTAGAGAGACCGAAGTTCCTTCAGATCTACCAAAGTAAGTGGTTTTTGTGTTACATTCAATCTGCTCTGACGAAAACGCAGGAAAAGTACTGAATTCCCACCAATATTCTTGGACAACTTGAGAGACATCGGTGGCTTTTCAGAAAGCAAGGCCTCAGATCAATTATCGGCTTCAGAAATACGACTTTTGACACAGCAAAGGAAGGAAGAGCCGCTGAATGACACCATCTCAACAAGCAACTCGCACCCAAAGTCGAACTCGGGCTCGGGTTTTCAAAAATCCTACAAGGACTATGACACGGTGAACCAGCTTACTTGGGAGAATACGTCTCTCCAACGTAGAGTTGAAGTTCAAGCCAGTGCTTTGATCGAACTGTCAGTGGAGAAAGAAAAGTGGATGGGTGAGAAATACAAATTGATAGACGAACAGGTGCGGAGTCATTCTGGTGTTTGAAGATTGAGAATTTTGACTGGTGTACAGGAGAAAGCTCGGAAGAGGATTAAGTTGCTTCTCGAAGAAAAAGAAGAGTTGAAGTTGTCGCTGCAAAGGGTCATTGAGGGACTCGTGACTGAGAATCAATTTCTTTCGCAAGTCGCGTCCGTCCGGCATGACCCCAATCTTCAAGACACAACAACCAGGAAAGCTGAGGAACACACTATGCTCGAGACTCAATCTACGTCATCTACTCACCTTTTGGGATCACAATCTGTACCGAACAGGCCGCTCGAGAACCACTCTGCGGAAGAAACTCCGCATGTTTCGGACCACACAGAAGTGAATTCATCGGATTCAAGAGCGTATCCACCAGACCCAAGTGTTGGATTGCCTCACTCCTTACAGAGCGAGGGAAACGATGCTTCGTATCAATCTCTAGACGTGACAGCTTTGCACTATGAGGTGACGTCTCCTGCTCTGGAATCAAAGGATAGCATTGCCGAAGAAAAAGCCGAGGATGCGCAAAGACAAATTGAGCATGACTCGCACCCGCAGGAATCTCAAGGTTCTCAAGGAGGAGAAGGGGGGCGGATAGGAAACCTCAACGCGTCGGAGAGCGTCACGGAATACAACAGGCCCACTCGGCATGCACCAGATGCAACCGCAGTCGATCACAGCTTGACGTCCCCTGAGCCTGACAACAGGGACCAACCAGCGCACCCAGCAGAGCAGAATCAACACATTCACCCTCAGGCTGCGGATCACGAGGACTGGAGTGACGCGGTCTTCACCAAAGACAAGTCCTCAGTTCGGAAAGCTCCTCCACCGCGACCGTTTCCCCCGGAGCTCCTTGCTCACCCTGGTGACAAGGACATTCAGATAGGTAAGCTACATGAGATTGTGGGTGATATCGTGATTCCTACCCAGGTCTTAAACACTTGTTCAACCCTCCCAAAGCTGCTCCTCCTCCAGCTATCTACTACGTCTTCGATGCGCTCTGGAGCGTGGTCTCACTGCGTCCGGTCAGGACTGCACTGTTCCACAGCCACAAGGCAGAGATAGACGACGACGAGTGGTAGCCGCAGAGGATGCTTGTACACAAACTTATTCTTTCGCCATCGGTTTATGACACTGACTGATCTCAATGAAAAAACTGAGCCTCGGAGAACCATGGTTTTCACTAACGGTCCGATCACTGGCCTCGGCCTCTCCGAGGCTCCGGCGCCGTCGCCGCCCGTCCGGGATCGGATCGCCGCCCGCGGTCACACTGACAGTGAGCTTGGGTTCCCGATAGCCGGCCGCTGGCTTCGTCACAAACAGTAGCCCTGGAAGCTCTCGCTGAACTCCCGGGTGCTAAACCCCTACTACGCTAAACTCCCAGACTAAACCTTGAACCCCTAGCTAAACCCCTCCTAAACCCAGGATCATGCAGGCGCATAGCAGGGGGTTGTCGATGGAGCATGCAGCGTTCGAGACGCAGGGGGAGGTGGAGGCATGGCTGAGCGAGGCCGCGAAGTTGGCGGGCAGAGACCTGCTGAGTGAAGAGCTGGCCAAGTTCCTTGGTGGGACCCGCCATGCTCTCCTTTCATCGCTCTTCTTCATGCTCACTGGCGTGCCGCAGACGAGAACGACAATGTCATCTGCCGCGAGGACTTCTGCTACCCGACCTCTGACCCCGCCTCTGACCTCTCAACCTCCTGCACGTACATGTGCGGGAACTCCCTGGGGCTGCAGCCTGCAAAGACCAAGCAGTACGTGAACGAAGAATTGGACCGATGGGCAAAGCTGGGGGTTCGGGGACATTTCGAAGGGGAAGGGCGACATTGGGCGAAGATTGATGACCTTCTGCAGTCACCCATGGCCCGTGTGGTTGGAGCTCAGGACAAGGAAATCGCCGTCATGAACGGCCTCACTGCTAACATCCACTTGATGTTCGTCCCCTTCTACAGACCCACCAAGGAGCGCTACAAAGTCATCATGGAAGCGCAGGCGTTCCCTTCGGATCGCTACATCGTTGAGTCTCAGGTCCTACTATGCAAATGTTTGAGCGAGAGCTGACGCTGTGCTTTGGTGAAGGTGCGCTTCCATGGGTTCGATCCCCAGGAGGCCATAGTGCTCGTGAGGCCGCGGGAAGGGGAGCATACACTGAGGACTAGTGACATCCTAGACGCGATAGGAAGAGAGGGGGCCCGGACTTGCATGGTTTTCTTTCCTGGGGTGCAGTACTATACTGGGCAGCTGTTTGACATGAAGACCATCACAGAGAAAGGCCACGAACAGGTCTGTCCAGCGGCTACCTTGCTCCTCCTCCTCCTCCTCCCTCCTGACACTTGGCAGGGCTGCGTGGTTGGCTTCGACCTCGCCCACGCTGTTGGCAATGTCGAGCTTCATCTCCATGAATGGGAAGTGGATTTTGCGTGCTGGTACGAGCCTTGAGTTGAACATCGCCATCATACCGCACTGCGGGGAAGAGCCCGACCTTAGGTGGAGCATCAGGTGTACCTACAAGTACCTCAACGCTGGGCCTGGATCGATTGCCGGAACTTTTGTTCATGAAAAGCATGGATCGAACTCGACACTTCCAAGGTTCTTGATCTCAGCCTGCGAGACTTTTTGTCCTCATGAACGTCATTCGAAGGTTTGCTGGTTGGTGGGGCCACGATGACTCGACGAGATTTGATATGACCAAGCCGTTCAAGGTGAAAGAGCTTGGATGACTTACAGATTTGTAGTCAAAGGTTGAACTTCCTTGTCTGCAGGCTGAAGAGGGGGCTCGAGGCTTCCAACTGTCGAATCCTCCCATCCTTCAGGTCGGCTCGTGAGGGAGCGGAGCAGGGCCTTAACGGGTTCGAATGTGATCAGTGTGTTTCTTTGATTGCAAGCCTCGAGATCTTTAGCAAGGTGCCTAGCTTGACTTTCTTGGGACCGATTCGGTTGCTTGTTGATACCTCGGCAGTGTGGAATGAAAGCACTGAGGTCCAAGTCTGAGATCATGACTGGATACCTCCTCATGTTGTTCAAGCAGAGGCTGCAAGGTAAGTCTTGCGTTCCTTTCAATTCCATCTCCGAGCTGCCAGATGCTTGACTTTGTCATGTGTTCCAAGGCCATGTAACCTCCATCACCCCCGAGAATCCGCAAGAGCGGGGATGTCAACTCTCGATCATCTTCGACAAGTACTGTCACCATAGATGATGACGTGTTGTTGTTGAGGATGCAACCAGGCCTGTCAGGATGATGTTTTCTGCATTGAGCTCTTATGGAGTGGTAGACTCGAAATCATTTCGCATTCAATCTCTTTACAATCTGTTAGGTTTGCGACATGCGGGAACCAGACGTGATCCGGTTAGCTCCGTGCCCACTCTACAACACCTTTCATGAGGTATATCTACATAATTGCTTTCCTTCTCCTGACCTCAACTTTGCGATCAAACAGGTTTACAAGGTTGTCGACATGCTTGTCAAGCTTAACGCGATGACTCAAGAGGAACTTGCTGCTCTCATGAGTCCAAGTAGCTAGCGCTGCATGTATACAAGCACCTCATCCGCCCTTGAGCGATCTCAACGGCTGATGGCATCAGGATCTCGTTCCCTTCTTGGCCAGGCTGCTCGTCGAGCTCCTCTGAGCCTCCAGCTTCTTCCCCTTCAGCTCTGAGCGCCCGTGAGCAGTGATAGTTCCCTCCTCGCGCTCTCACCTTGATACTTCTGGCTGTCCACGAAGCCCAAGTACTCGTAGAAGTTGACCGTGCTGTCATTGTCAAGGTTGCCCTTGAAGAGCTTCGTGAGGAATTCGTTGATGTAATGCTCGTCTATCGTTTTTCCTGCCCGCAGGTACCTGCGAGAACGCTTCAACGCCCATATCCCGACGATCTCAAGGCCCCCATGGCGGCCTCACATCAACTGAGTCGCCTCATCCACCTGCTCACACGAGAAGAGAGGGTCAACATCGATGGGAGTCAGCAGCAGACACGTACGTCGATCCTCCCGTCACAGTTGTAGTCATTCATCTGAACGCCCTGATGTCAGCAAAGCAACCCGACGAGAATGCTTTACACCATGAAGTCAACGACGTTGTAGAGAGCTCGAGGCTCCAGCATGGTGTCGTCGGACCTCACCCTCCTGCACCCCCATGAGCGCTTGATACAGAACTCACACTGACAGGCCCTTTGCTACCTGTACATGAGGACGAACTCATCGTAGGTGACGGTCTTGTCGAGAGTCTCATCCACTTCCCAGATCATCTCTTCCAGCTCTCCCTTGTGGGGCTCGTACTTCAACTCCCTCATGGACGCTGACAGGTCGTCAATGCAGATTACCCCTGCTGATTATCAATCCTGTTGCTCGTGCAGTGGCAGCATGGAAAGTCACCATCCTTATTGACGTCCAGGCGTTGGAACACTCTGTTCACCTGCTCGCTCTCCGCCTTGTTCAGCTCCGCAAGTCCCCGCTGAAGCTTCTTCCACATGCTCGCAACTACAACAGTCAGTTGAATTGTAAAAAGGAGTCAACAAACCTTGTCACAGTTTTAGTTATATTTTGATAGTAGGAGCCTGATCAATGATCCGACTCCGGCGAGTCGGAGCCTGACTGCGAGGCTCGCCGCCGGGCTGGGGCCGGCCGGGCCGCTTGGTCGTCACTAGTACCGTCCGGCGGCAGTCCGACACTGTCACTGAGGTTCCGGGACGGCCCGATCACCCCGAGGCTGCCTGAGACCGGGCTGACCGTACGGGACACTGACTCTCAGAGCTCAGGCTACCGTGAGCGCCGTAGGAGGCAAGGAACGAAAACAGCGGCATTGAATGCGGCTTATGATCAAAGGCGCGATAAGGGGAAACAGCAAGGAAGAGCGCTTGAATCATGAATCTGAATAGCAAAGACAAGATCTTCATGTCAACTAGTAGTTTTCTTCTTGGCATCTCCGAACTAGTAGTCATACCCAGCATCGTCTACTGCATGTTCGCCGTTAGCGAACGCTCGCTTGAGCCGCGCCATACATTCCGATCTATCAACGTCGCAGCCCCATCAGAGAGTCGCAAGAGAGGAGATGAAGACAAACCTGCTCAACCTTTTCCTGCTTCCTCCAGGCTCTTCATCGTCACTGAAGTATTCGTCCTCTGCATCTCTGCTCATCTGAGGATCATGTTAGAGGGCAGGAGTCTCCAGATGTCCGCCGACCCACCTGGTCCAGGTCATCAAGATCGTGATCCTGATCGCAAGACGCGTAATCAAAGTATTGAACATCGTGACCCTGCACAGGTGGGTCAGCGCGCCATAGCAAACATTGCTCGATACACCTCAAGGAATCTTTCCCTCATGATCTTGTAGAATTCATCTCGCAGGCGCATGCGATCCTCGGCAGAGACGATCTCCTGCTTTCCTTGGTCCCCTTTGCTGGATGATTGCTCGAGATCCAAATCCTCGTCGCTGTCTTCCTCCTCGCCTGCGAAAATGCATCAGACCCGCTCGTGAGAGGCTGCGATGGATTATGAACGAACAGACATGCAGAGATCCAGGTACTGCTAGGTTCATGGATTGAGGGTGAAGAGCTTACAATTTCTTTCGGCGTCTGCCTCCTTTTCGCGCCGAGTGCGATTCATTTTCCTGTCATAGCTGTGGAGGAGAAAGTCGGCTAACGCCTGGGGAAAGTCAGACATACAGGAGGGGCGGAAAAGAAGTCAGAGGAAGACGATATGTTGAGAGGATGCTGATGAAACAGGCAGAGGTAGGTGCATTGCGGCAGAGAAAGATATGCGAGGCGAGAGAAGGGAGAAACGACAAAGAAGAGGTCGACAAAAAACAGGAGTGGAAGGAGGCAGGAAGAGCGAGGGGGGAAACAATAGGGTTCAACAACCTGTCCAGACCAAGAAGAATCGCGCCAATCGCCTGGTTTAAGACAATGAGGCACTTCCTCTTTGACTCTGCGCCCGTCCTCATCGACTAGAATACAACTGGGTTTGTCGGCGGGAACGATCGTAGAAACACCTTCGCCCTCTTCCATGAATTTTCCAATATGTTCGTGGTAAAGGAGTGGAGCCCTTCTTTCCATATTTCCAAGAGAGAAGTACTCCCCTTCTTCCACGAGCTGGTTCATCTTCTTCAGTCGACGATTCCGAACTGATACGCTCTTTGGCAAGCTCTTGGTTGCACTCGACCTAGGTCCATTCAGCTTATCGTCTCCTTCGTTCCTCCTCCGCGCCGACCGTTGTGCTTCCTCACTTGCATCGTTGCAATCGGCCCTCCTGTCTTCCTCTTCGTCTCTCCCCATCTCTGCATCGCCGCTTTCCACCATCTCGCTATCCGGCATCCTTGGCAAACCTCCTACACGGGCAATTAATGTTATTATCAACACTTTATGGAAACTCTCATATATTGGGTAAGTTTTACAACTACTTTTAAGACAGCAGTACCTGGTTTGTACCAATCAGTTTTATTTAATTTTACAAGATCTGTCTTACTGTACCGGTCATATATACTGCAAAACATCTGTGGGGGGTCATCATATTTACAACTATAAGCAGTATAAGTGGTAAATGTTTTGTAAATCATTATACAAATATATTGAAATCTATATTTAGTACTGCATTCACGAACAGTTGCGTTTCAGTCCCCCCGACACTGACTCCTAAAGTTGCCGGGATGACTCCGACTCCCTCCGACGCCTTCTTGGACTCCCGGAGTCAGGCCTCGGACTCCCACCTACACACGGACTCGAGTCATCCCACCAGGCCGGGCTGTAACACTCCGACTCGTCGGTCCGGCGGCCGGGGAAGGCGGCCCGGGCCTGGCCGCGTGACTGTCAGCCGGGGCAAGGCTCGGACTGAGCGCAGTGACCCAGCGCCGGGTAGCCGCCGGGTCGGACTGTCCCGGCCCGGTCCGGACCCGGCGCTCCCGGCCACAGCTGAGCGCTTCTTTATATGATCCCGGCCCCTCCGACAGTCGCACTCCCGGAGTCCCATTCCCGGGCCTCCCGACTCCGTACGGTCGCCGTGACTTCCGCCATACATACTCGACGCTTGAACCTACGGTAACTAGGACCCCAACCAGGCTCCGAGGCTCCGGATGCTCCGCCTACTCTGGGTGGACGTATCGGGTCGAATTTCGGAACGCGGACTGTGCCCGGTGAGTCACTCGGACGGCGGGCCGAACTTCCGAATACCGGCCGCACGAACTCCGAATACCCAGCGGTCTCTGTGACGGTGCTTCATCGGATCAACTCTCTGGCAGTGCAGTCAGGCTCATTGAGGACGCGGCCGTCCCGGCCTCCGACTCCATGCGTGAGCCATCATGTCACATCCACCTCTGCCAAGTTGCAACAAGACCGTTTTACTGAAGACCTAGGTTCATGCAAACGACACCAGAATTGAGCATCACATCAAAGATAGACTGTACGCTAAGGTCTAACTTCTGCGTTTTGTTTCACTTTATACTTGCTCCGCCACCGGCACGATACACTTCACTCAGCAGATTGCCTATTCGCATGCGAATGTCAGGTATATCCTTCTGACAAAAACTCGTTGCTGGGTTGCGGCCCGAAGCTATACAATCCGCTATCGCACATACAAATACTCCGCACGACGATCCGTCTGTCTGTCGCGGTACCTGTGTCCGGGATCAGTGTATACAACACGCCGTTTGGCAATTGATGTGGTCACCAGATCTGACGTAAACGAGTACACGTGTTGCCATTTAACCCTCAGTTTGTCTTGCATCCATGCTTCCAATAGCTGGTTTCCGGTAGATTGAGCTTCATTCAGTTGACGCTGCCATTCCATCTCTACAAAACCTGCGCGGTACATGTACGTGTTACAGCGACAATCCAATGCGCACCATGAACACGTCTCACATGCTATGTCCTTGGTACACTCCTTGTGCACGAGTTTCATGGAGTCATATAACCTGGTAACAACCGTCAATGACACTGTATGTCGCTGCTATGTCACAATTTCATTACGTCACTGCCACATGACCAATGGATCTCAGATCAATGGTAACGAGGCCCCAATGCTTCTGATCTCTGAGTACTCCTCCCATCCTCTCCATGGTTGGGAGTTCGCTGGTTGTATCGTTACCTTCCACCCTGCTGGCCAGTTGCACAGAAAAGATAGGTATTAACACGATGTCAGTGGTTGGCCACCATATATCCTTGATCCACTTCCGGCAACCCGCGTGTACGGAATTTGTCACCTGCAACGAATTTATCCCTCACACTGCAATCATCACTGGCACGTTACATTCTTCACGCACCTTATCTGCATCTCCACAGAGAGCGATTTCCTGAATCAACTTGGTGTAAAAGTATGTCCCACAGCAATGCACACTGATTCCTGATGCCTTGCGGGCCTGTATGACACACAAAAACGCATCTATGATATCTCCTTTCAACCATCCACCATTCCTCACTGCATCCAAGTCTTCCAATGTAATGTCCGACTGGGAAATCATGTGTGTGCCCAACGAGACCATGTTCTTGACTTGGTTCACCACTACTGTATCCAGCCCAATGAATATTTCTCTCAGATATGCGCATTGTACTTTGGGCATCCCGTCATTTCCAGCTGTTATCTGGTTCTCCTCCGCATCTGTCTGCACTCCTACTGAAGTACCAGAAGCTCGAAGATTCTTCTGGGTTCTGCTGGATACATGGGACTCACAAGGAATGTCAGCAGTGTCTGATGTGCACGAACGTTTGTTATGTCCGATAGCTTTGCATATCTTACATGTCTTCTTCAAATTTCCTTTCACAGTGTAAAATTTGCCATCCACAAACCCTGGCACTGCTTCCCCATGGAGTCGGATCGTTCCTTCTTCGTTGCGAAGGATCACTTGTTTACAATCATGGACACGCTTTCTTTTGGATCCTTGTCTCTTGGAGATTTTCTTGCCTTTTTCCCCATGTGATGGAATGCGACCAGGGAGGGAGCCAGGACAGGGAGCCTTGCTGGGCGGAGGAAGATAAGACTTGTCTGTGTGTTGCGGGCGGGGGACATCATCATTGTGTGGGGAATATCCAATACGGAATGTGCCTGAGTGTAACACGGCGTCGAGAAAAGTGTCTGTCAACCATATATCATCGTACAACTGCCGGACCATATCTTCATGTGGCTTCGCCAATCTTTGGTTGTATGCCTGGAATGCGGCGATTGCATGTTGACATGGTCTTCCATTGACCTGCCAAAGACAACACAAAGAGCAGGTTTTTTTGGACAAGTCGACATGGCAGTCGGAGGACTCTTGGTTACGTTTGCCTGCCAAGATAACCACTGTGTCAGAGACGGAAGTAGCGTACAAATGTCTCGCTTGAGTTTGGAATATGACATGCTCTTCGTTGACTGCATCACTGATAAACATATCGGTGTAGATGCTAGCAGGCAGTTCATTCCTTCTTCGTGATATTTCATTGGCCAGATTCCGCATGTCATTCAAGCATGTCACCCACGCGCATGTAACCTTCTGGAGAAATCCCAACGGGTGGTCATTCGTGGCGAGCATTCCGCGGAGACGAGAGTTTTCACTTTCACTGACATTGTTGCTCCGAATCCCATAGGTACGAATGCCATGAAATTCTTTCAGAACTTGGGCCTCCCCCTGCATGTGTTCGGCAAGAAACACCCTCGACTACCAGGGTTGTGGCAAGAAACACCCTCGACTACCAGGGTTGTTGTCACAATATAACTTCATCCAATTCGGTAAGATCTTGAATGTTTCCTCGTACTGTTCCCAAGTACCATATTCGAGGACAAAGCGTGCTTTCCAAACGTTGGCAGGGGAGGAATCAATACCGTGGGATGCTTTGAGCTGACGCAATAGTTCCTTCACCGTCATTCTCTTGCCACCACCACTTGAGCTTCCAGAGGACATTGAGATCATTTCCCGAAAAGGATGGAATTGAAGCAGGAACTTCACAGAAGCTTTGCCTGAGAACGTGCACATGTACTCATCGTGCTGCAGATGGCTGTCTGTAATGTTGACAGTGAAGAGAGGTACCATACTGCGTGATTTTTTCACTACGACACTGTACCTGCCAAGGTGGTTCCCTGTTAGTCAAGCTTTGCAAATCAATGACGGTGGAGATTTACCTGCACTTGGGCGAAAGACACTGTAGGGTATATGTTTCGAAGAGCGCCTCAAAATTTGGAATGCAACGAACCCCTCTATTGCAGAACTCGAAGTTGACACCTTTGATGTAAGCAGTGCATTCTTGCCTACTCTCCCAAACCTTGCCGGTGAACAAGTCAGCGTGATTCAGAAGCAGGCCGCCCTGGCAAGTTGCGTGAACACCATGCCCTGCATCCGCCGTGTTGTGCCCACGAGATGCAGATGAGCCCTCACAATGATCCTTCAAGTTTGAGCAGGAACCGCCAGAGAATGTCGTTGCCGGGGTGCCAACGGGGGAGGAATCAATGCCTTTGCCAACTGGAAAGGGTGATCCCGAGGGTTTGGTAGTAGAATCTGAAGTATGCAGGACGTCAGCTGGTTGTGTAAGCCGCCTGGAAGCAGTAGTAGGACACAAAATGCTATACAGCTTGTTCACCCTGGTGAATAACGGTGTAGTGTCGCTGACGGGCACACCAAGCAAAGAGTATCCTTGACGAATCACCTCATTCATCGGGACTGTCCGATCCAGTTGCAGTTGGAATCGAATAGAATCAATTCTGTCTACAAGAGGAATTGTTTCATACTGGTCATAGTCATGTGAGTCGTGTTCAAGACAGGATGATTCAACTCTCCCCTGCTGCCAGGCAGCCATCACTGTGTTTATGCGAGGTGACACCCCTCCAATGCCTTAGGGCCAGCCACTAGAAGAAGGGGGTGGATGGAGCAATGAAGGGGTGACAGTGACACTATGAAGGGGTGGGTACAAGTACCCTGCATCATCCCTATCAAACCCCTGGGTTTAAGGGGGTGATCAGTTTCTTGGAGGGGTCGTGGAGTTGGGGTGGGTACATATAGTATCTGATTATTAACCTGTACTAGTACCCCTCATCTCCTCTCTGTACGATAGTAATAGGGGTGGGGTGTGCTGTATAATCAGATTATTGTTGTGATCGTACAAAATACTATAAGGTAATTGTATAAATCTCGCTGTGTAAAATATGAACGTTTCAATTAAATGACATATAAAACATTGATGTATCCAAAAAGTGCCATACAATTTCAAAATACATGTTTCTCTTGCAGTATTTTGTGAAAGAATTTGATAAAAGTGTTGATAATAACATTAGTTGCCCCTCCTACACCAGACCCCACCCTATGGACCCAATCTCTCCACATGGAACCACCCCTCGTTGTATTTATCATAATTATACACAAAAAATCATAAATGTACCCAATGTTATAGATATTTTTGACCGAAGTTGATAAAACAATTGTAAGAATAGATATATGAGCTGGTCTGTCCGAGTAAAATGTTTTTGTCGCAGTTTATATCATTATAAATATTATATATAATTTTAAACTTCACAAAACATTATTAAAGTCACGTTTTAAGTCTGGCAGTCAGACGTGTGAGAGGGTGGGGTGTTGCACTTCAGGAAGACAGGGGTGGGGGTGGGTGGGCGGCTAAACCGACCTTGTAGGGGTGCCTTCAGGCTTCTCAATCGACGCAAGGGGGGGTGGGATAGGTAAGGTGGCGGAGGGGGTGGTGAGTGGTAAACTCGAGGAGGGAAGGGTGGGGTTGAATGCGGGTGGGGGAGTGAGGGTTTTTGCGGACGGCGTAATCGATGTTGGTGGGAGGGAGTAAAATGGTGGAAGGGGAGGCAGGGAGAGAGGAGAGCGAGGAGGAGAGCGAGGATAGAAAGGAAAGGGATCAGTTGGCAAAAAGGGAGGGGGCGGGGGCAAGAGGGAGGGAGGGAGGGAGGGAGGGAGGGAGGGAAGAGATGAGAGGTGTTTACCGGGCAAAGGAGGCGAGATCTGCACTATGGTACAGGGGGAGCGGAATGACATGAAAGGAGAGAATGAGATGATATGAAGACAGCCAGGGAATGAGATAGATGAGGGAAGTTGTTTTAGATTTGTTCAAAGGACACGGACTATGGAGGTGAGAATACAACTTGAGAGGAGGGTTGGAAGGGGTTTATGTGGTAAAAGTTTTACGCAGACGCAGTGAGATAGATGCAATGGAGAAGGAACGTAATAAGAGGGGCAAGAGGGATGGGGGAGAGAATTATACGAGAGAGGCCAGGGTTATGAATGACAGAACGATCTGGAGCAGGCTACTCATATCGCTGGATTTGAACCAGACAGACTTGCACCAACAAATGCATAGAGTAGATCTATGTTGATCCGATCGTTTTTGAATCTATCATTCATGTCGGATGATTTTTAAGAAATGGAAGATGATACGAGCAAGAAACATGTTCGTTGATTATATATGTTTTATTTTGCACACCTACTCACTGAAGGTTTGCTGACTTCCCGTTACAGTTCGAACTTTCGTTAGAAAACGGCATAGATGGAACTTCAATTTATCTAAAGCTTTCTGGCAAATGCTTCACAACGCTTATTTTTACCACCATGCACGTCCTGAAAAGAGACATCAAGTTGCAAGGGCGTGTGCTCGTTGTCGAAGGCTAAAATTGAAATGCGTGGAGAAATTCCCATGCTCAAGGTGCGAAAGGAGGATTCTCGAGACTCATCTCGAACAGAAGCAGATCAATGGCATATGCGCAGACTGCGAGGAGGCAATGCGTGGAAACGAACGTTTCCGGATTGTTCTTTCCAATGAATACGGGGGACCAGAGAGGCCGATCATTTTTCGAGGCAACTGCATCGAGCTGACGAATCAGAAGAAGAAAGCTGCTCAACTGATCCTACCTTTGTTGCGAGTTCCGTGTGCTTACACGATGATCCATCGGTACAGTGAGGCGGGATTCTCCGTGAGGGATATTTGCAACATCTTCAATCACATCCCAGCTGAGCTTGCGAGTGTGCTCGAAGAAGGGTTGAGGGCCATGCAAAGGAATGCGCCATTGGTCCTTCCTGTGGCAGGTGAGAAGAGAATGCCGGGAAGTGAAAATGCGATGCAATTCCATGAAAAGAGACTGCTCGACAACATCAAAGACTTTGGGTGCGTTCGGCTGGAGTGGAATAAAGAGGGGGAGCGAGAATCAGTATACTTCAACGACGTATTTGCGCTGCTGGCAGGAGCACATAAAGAGGAGCTCTTGTCAAGAGCTGCATCTTGCGAGCTTCCGCTGCCTATGACAGAATTGGATCTTATCTGCACCATTCTGGATGACGTGCTGCGTTGTGGTTCGTCAACGATCACTCGCTATGTCAGGTGGCGCGTCGGATTTGTGAATGGAGGGCAAGGGCAAGCAGCATTCCTGAAATGGACGAGGAACAAGAGCATTTCACCGGCTCAGGGGATCGAAAACGCGCTGCACAGTTTCTCTTTCGTTACCCCAGAGGAGTATGATTGGGCAATGCACACGACTCCCGAGCTGTGTCGACCTCTCATGTGGGAGCTCGGAGATTTCCGCTCTGCCTCTTCCTGTCTCAATGATATTGGAAAAGATTGGCACGATATGCGCATCTCCGATTTGCAGAGCTCAGATCACGGTCGGCATCTGCTCTCGAGGCTCACGGAGTTGGTGAGATTGAAGTTCGCTCCGTTTGTGAGGGCGGCCAACATGGTTCAGATGGAACAGTCAGAGGGCCATAGACATGTCCCTGCGTGCCCTCAAACAGTCGGAGCAGCTCAACTTTGCGAGATGCCGCTGGCGGTGCCTCATCCTACGGCGGTCATGATTCAGGGGTGGATGCAGGCATCAGCGATCTGCCAGGGCGAGAGGGACCTTCAGTTTGTGTCGCCGCATCCTTGCGGACCAGCGGCGTCACAGCTGGGCTGCGGACCAGCGGCGTCACAGCTGGGCTGCGCATCGCAGGCCATGGAGACGAACGCACTGAGTGCAGGTATCTTGCCTTGCATCCTCCAGAACCCGCACGACGCAGAGAAGTTCGTCTCTGATATGTCAGCAAACGTGCGACAGAACGTCTCTGATATGTCAGCAAACGTGCGACAGAACGATCTGAATTCCTTCGACTCTATCAACCACAAGTGGCCCATCAAGAACGACAAAGAGGAACACACAAGCCAACGCGACGTCTCACATTACACAGTTTCATCCGAGGCAAACATGGCTCTGAATCATTCTGTTGCATTTTCTGTCCTCAAATCAACAGAGCTGCGGCTGGAAAGGTCGCATGTCTTCCTGTCTCCCAGGAATGTTTAGAGTGATGACACTTTTGCAGGTTTTCCCAAGACTTGCAGTGCGAGTTTGGACAGTTCGGGGGCCTCGAAGATCCTCTCGAGGCGATTCTCCCTCGCCTGGACTAGTTTGACTCTTCCGTTCCGAGACTTTATGGACATAATGAACAAGTGAAATCCAGACGGATTCATTTCAACCAACGACTTGGCAAGGGTGGGGTCACACCCACTGCCTGTCCGCTTTCTTCGCAGCTCGAGCTTGTTGTGTCTCTGAATCCTGACTAGACGTCAAGCCTCAAAGCGTTGAGAAGTGATTGAACCTTCGCCTGCCGTCTTGCCATGATCCCCGCGAAGTACCTATCTCTATCCTTGTCCAGCTGTAGCCCTTGATTACACGTGGCACAAGGAGAGCAGAGGCACCTGCTCGTCGTCCACCTCCCTTGTCTTTCCCGCATGTCTTGGCCTCGCATCCTGCAATCCTTCTACCCTCTTCTTAGGCGGAGGGAGGATAGGACGAGCCTGCAGCGAGAGCAACGATCAAATTAGTGAAGGTCACACCACACGAGTAACCCTCGGTGTTGGGTCGGCATCTTGCATCACCAGCTTCCTTGTGACCTGAGCACGAGAGTGGAAGTCACGTCAAACTCGCTCTGTCGCTCCCTATCTCTCTCTACCATGGGAGCCGGATCCGCATCTTCTATCACCACATCATCCACATCCTGCCTCCTGGAGTGCCGCAGGCTTCGACTGCAACTGTCCGTTCACCAAGAATGGGATGGTGGGTGACAAGGGGCTTTCGACGCACCTGGATGACACCAGCGACGGCGGCCTTTTGCTCTCCCTCAGAGCACGTGCCAACTGATTCCGCTCCTGGTCCGATCTCAGCGCCTGTGCCCCTCAAGAGATGCAGAGCTGACCTCGTCTCGTGATCTTGGGGCGGGCAGATCACTTGCTCTCCGCCTCGCCATGCTGTCATCTTCCTCAGAGTCTCCGTCGCTCTCCAAGTCATCAACAATCTGCGATGGAAGGCTTCGCTTCAGGGAACTCCAGGCAGCACAGGCTCCTCACATCGATAGGGTCCCACTCGTCATCCTCATCGTCCTCGTCGTCATTCCCTCCATCGAGATATGCCTGCATGCGAGCACGAGGGAGAGGAACGTCAGTCAGGGGGGGAGCAGGGTCGCGGGCTGGCACCTGGTTGTCATGAGAAGAATCGTCCATGGTGAAGGCTTTCATCATGGCCTGCAGCCTTGTGCTGGGAAACCCAGTGAATAATCCCTCCAGTCGGGCAGCTGCTAAACAAGTACCTCTGCTGTCCTTTCAGACGCACCCTCTCTCCCTGCGGGTTGGAGGTGTCGATGATCACTTGGGTGTCCACGGGCTGGGGGGACGAGGAGAGTCAGGGAGGCATGCAGTTGACATCATGCAGAAGAACCTGAGAGCTGAGCTGCGAAACATGCCCCCCCTCCAGCAGGACTGCTCGTTTGAAGTCATCCAAAAACCTGACGGCCGCATCCCATCAAACTCCAGGAGGATGGAGGATCAACTCACTGTGCATCTCTCTGCTTTCTGTACTCCTTCTCGCGTTCGAAGCTTCGCTTGCTATCCTGAGGAATGGTGTCAACCAGGATCACAGTATCCCTATGGCATCAAGGAGAAGTTGCAAATGAACAAGCGGAGAGACTGTGTAATAAGTTTTGACCCACCCTAATAGCTCTCTCCATCGCTGCATTCTCGTAGTCCATCTTGAAGATTGAAAGCAAGAGAATAGGCTAGTATCCTCGATTCAAAGGCAGCATTTCCTGGTGGAAGGTGCGTTACTGAATTTCAGAAACCACATGCATTCATCCAGATGACGCTTGTTTTGTCGGAATATCCAAACTTTCATGATTGTTTACCCGCACTCTGACTGTTACATTACTGGCTACCAAGGCATAACACTAGCTGCCTTCTCCTTCCAGTCTTCCGATCGCATGTTGTCTCCTGCCCCTTCTTCTGTTCCTCCTCCTGCTCCTGCACCTCGTGCACCTCCTTCTCCTCCTCCTTCTCCTCCTCCTCCTTCTCCTTCTCCTGCTTCTCCTGCTTCTCCTGCTCCTGCTCCTGCTCCTGATCCTGCTCCTCCTCCTCCTCCTCCTCCTCCTGCTCCTCCTGCTTCTCCTGCTTCTCCTGCTTCTCCTTCTCCTCCTCCTCCTCAGGGCACCTCCTGCTCCTTGCCGTCGGGAAGATCAGCGGTTTCAATCCGTAACGTGCGATTTCCAATCTCTCTATATTAGCTTTTCTAATTTCTTATATTCTATGAGCTAATTTAATTTCTTTGTCAAAGTTCCGTTAATCAAATTTCTTTCCCGCAATGCTCAGGGCGGGAGGTCAACGGAGGGAGCCGATGCGAGCATGGCAAGCGGCGACCCCACAGAGAGACTCCAGAGCTCACCAGCAGGACAAGATTCAGGAGGAGAGGCTGGCGAGCGAGCAGCAGGTAGTTCGCCGCCTGTTGTGCGTGTGGCTGACATGGGCCGGTTTTAGGGGGCGGGTGGTGCGAAGGTCGAGATCATGGTCGTGGAGTCGCCGCAAGACGCAGAGAAGCACGACAACGGTTACGAATACATCGACCCAAGGAGGATACAATCTCCCACAAGGAGGTCGATGGGTAACATGGAGCGAAGGCATTTCCAAGAAGACCTGCACATGCTACCTTCCGACGGAGGGTTAGCCGGGGACATGGGGGAGAAGGTGAGTTTCTTCTACTTGCAGATGGAGATGCTCTGACTGGGAGTCGTCAGTTCTGTGATGTCTGGGATACTTCGCACACCCCATTGAAGTCGAGGAGGAGGAGCGGAAAGAGGGCGGACCACATGAGTGAGATCTTGTCGGGAACCCCGGACAGGTCTGCTCCCAGCCGACATGGCAGGGAATGGCAGAGCCCTCCAGACGCGTCGAGGAGGGAGGAGACAAGATCTTCGCTGCAGAAAGATCGCGACCACTCAGATGTGCAGCATGCCATGAAGAGCGACGTGAAGATGCGACCGTACGAGAATGCGAGGGAGGGGCCTGACACGCATCCAACGAGGAACAAGGGCGAACGGCTCAGGAGCATCCTCAGGATACAAGACTCTACTTGCAGTGGAAGTGTCGACTGGCAAGACTTCAAGTTTGCCCTCCACGAAGCTGGAATCCAACTGAATGCGCAAGACACTACTGCGATGTGGCAGAAATCCGGAGGTTCCATCGATGGCAACGGTAGTCCCCTGGGCAGAACCTCGATCGACACGATCTTGCAGGAAGTCAGTGGTCAAAACCACAGGAGGTCAGAGTTCAAATCTAGCGAGAAGGCGTACAATGAAGGAAGAAGATATTCTGCACACATGCAAAGCAATCTGACAACGGGGATGGCTGTCAACCATTCCGCCAGTGAGTTTGAATGTACAGGTGGTGGAATGAAGAAAGGTCGTTTACCTATCTCTTACGCCTGGCAGCATGGGTCTCTCAACAGTGGTGTGAAGGATAGACAATTCCTTGAAGTGCAACATTTAAGCCATGAATACGACACCATGGCTCGTTGGACCAAGAATGAGAGCAAATTGAAAGATGACTTTTTGCTGAAGAGGAACCAAATCAAGCGACTTTTCTCTACTGAGACTGAAGAGCCAAAGAGTTTGGGATTTGAAGAGTTCCGCAATGGCATCAAGCAAGTTGGAATCATCGTATCGGATCATGATTGCGAACGAATTTGGAGGAGGGTCGACAAAGAGTGTCTTGGACAAGTGAGTTTTGATCAGATGGTCAACGCATTTGATCTGACAGGAAGAGAAGCATCGGCAAGAACCTCTCTGTCAACACAGAACCATGGCAAGGACGTGAACAGCCCTGTAATTCTGAGGAAACTAAAGGAAGATCATGATCCCAACAAGTTGTCCACTGACAAAGTTTCGCTTTCGATTGTCAACGATGCACCAAGAGGGAGCATTTTGAAATCGTTGCAGAAGTCTTTGAACAAGCAGAGGATTACCCAGAGGGATTTCTCCGATGCTCTTGCATCTGCTGGGCTTGTGGTGAATCAGACTGACTGTAACGAGCTGTACAAGAGAGCTGGAGGAGGCATAATGAGGCCCTACGTCTCCATGGAGAACATCGAGGAGGCGATTCTATCAGCCTCAGCAGTGCAGAAGCCTGGTGCCGATGTGGCGATCTTCTGCTTCAGCTCCAAGGAGGGGATGTATCATCGCGAGAGCAACCCGCACCCCCAGGAAGGCTCGCGGGATGCCCTGTTGACGCAGGCTTGTCAAAAATTGACGTCGGGGTGCCTGAAGAATCCTCATCGTCTAGTGCAGGTATGTGACATTCACTGTCATCGCAATCTCTCATCCCGTGGCCCCTTCCGAAGGTGTTCAAGAAGTTCGATGTGGATAGGCTTGGCTTCATCAGCAGGATGGAGTTCGAGCGAGGACTCCTGTCGCATGGAATTTCACTTTCGCCGGGTGACATTCAAAGGCTCTCGATGGTAGACAGGAGCAGCTCGTGTTCCTCCTTGACCTGCTTGTGCAGGAAGCGTCCAACAAGAACGGGATGGTCGTCTACGAGGATTTCGTCTCCAAGGTTTTTGCCGTGCAGCAGCACTTGGAGCAGGGCGGAGGCAAGGAACATGCCCCTTTACGTACGTCAATCCTCTCTCGCTCTACACCAGCAGTGCTGACGTTGATGGATCAGCGAGTCCCTCCCATGACGCCCCGAGGAGCAACCAGCTGAGCAGCACAGTGATCCCTCACCCTTGCTATCTCTTTTCCCTGACCTCCTGTGGTCCCAGGTGCACTCCGAGAGGAGCCGTTCCTCAGTCCGCAGTGAGAGGTCCACGTCGTCGGTGAATTCTTCCCTAGGAGGACGAGACTCGACGTCTCGCTCGGCCTGGATGAACGAGTCTTCCGTCAACCATGGGTGAGAGCGGCCGCTGCCTCCCCTCTTCTCTCCCCTCAAGTTGCTGTTTTCAGGCATCGCGGTCCGATCAGAGCTCGCTCTGCCTCCCCTGCACGTCCCTGTCGCGTTTCCGTGCAGTTTGAAGACACGGGCGGTGCCAGCGCAGCAGCGCCTGTGCGCAGCTCACTGGTTGGGCCTTCGAGCTGCAAAATCCTTCACCTGGCCGCTGCTCCTCCGGTCGCGATCCACCGACCGAGAGCCGCAGCGAACTGAATCAGATGAACTTGAATAATTATTCTTTGAACGGCTGAATGAAAAGATTATGTATGATATGAACCAGCCGTACTCTTTACTCAACTGAGTTAAGTTAAAAATCAGTGCGAGGACAATAGTCGGGCCCGGCTCGGGGCCCCGGCCCGCTAGGCGTCCTGCGAGGGTAACCAGGGAAGTTGGTAGACCACGCGTCAAATGCGGAAGCAGTAGAGGCTGCAGTAGAGGTAGAAGGGACAAGGATGGAGAAGACTGCTGCAAGGATGAACAGAGCAGGAGTCTAGCCTCAACTTGAGGGTTGGGGGTAAGCTTACGATGGGTCGGGGCGAAAGAGGAGGCGAGCGGAGGGAACTAGGAGGAGGGTCGAGATGCTTGCTCGCAGTCATATCGCTGATGATCTTCTTGCACCCTGTCCGTGCGATCGAGCCGGTGGAAGTCACATCGCTGGCGAGTGAAGTCTCCATGTACCTCAAGGACCTCGTGTGCTCCTCCCTCAACCTCGGCAAGGACTGCGGGACCCCAGGAGTGAAGGACGCGTACGGAGTGCTCATGTCACCTGAAGGCAGCTATGGGGCGATGAGCGCAGATCCCGTCTCGACGCTGCTGGACGCAGACCTCTTGCCTCACATCACTTCGTACCTGGACGAAGTCACGACTGCCCTGGCGAAGATGCGTGACGACATGGAGCTGTACATGGCCGAGAGGCTCCGAGTGCCGAGTCTGCAGGAGGTGAACTACTCGGCTCTACCAGAGTACGACTCGTCCCACCCACACTGGTTGGCAGACGCCGTGAGCACTTCCATTCAAGGAACAGAATTCTATGTCCCGGTGGTCCTCGCGAGCAATCTGCAGTTTCCCAAGAATCTCAACAGGGACGATAGGCAGGTCAAGCTCGCAGCGAACGCCTCCATCGGCCTCGACACGAACTTTATCGCTAACTTGGAGAACAACACCACACCAGGACAGATCTCCATGAGGTGGCAGAGGTTTACGAGCAAGACAGGCTTCACCCGCTCGTTTCCAGCAACTTTTGACAACTCCACGAGGGATCGGAGGTTTGACGCTTGGTACAGAGTTTGCACTCAGATACCCAAGAATGTTCTCATCATCCTCGACTTTTCTGAGAGTATGAGACTATCAAACAACTCGGAGATCGCCAAGCAAGTGGCATACACGATCCTAAAGTCTCTCACGCATCAAGACAATGTCAATGTTTACTTCATGGCTGGCTCGAACCCCGGCCTCCCGCCTTGCTTCCAGTCTTCCTTCTATCCTGCCACTGCAAAGAACATTGAGCAGCTGGTGGAACAAGTTGCGTCCGCTACGGTCCATGGCGGCGAGGATGTGGATAGAACTCTATCATTTGCCTTCGAGATGGTAACGTCACACAATGACCTCGTATGTAAGGCAACGTCGCCTAGCCCTCAAAGTCCCTGTACAGGCCGCGACAGCTACATCTTCCTCATCAGTGACGGAGTCTTCAGTCAGTACACGCTTCCTCTACAGGAAATAGTCGCGCTGATGCCGTCCAACACTTACCTCATGGGGGTTGAGATTGGTCAGGGGCCCGGCGATTCGAAGATACACGAGTTCACATGTTTGCTTCGGGGGAAGTTCTTCAAAATAGAGACCATGTACTACATGTCAGAGATTCGCTCGATGCTCGATGACTGGTTTCAGATGATCGCTGCGCCGATTGTCCGACAAAACTTGACCGACAAGGTCTCGCTGTCCCTCCCCACGCTCAGCAGCACTGGCGACGAGATCTACATCACCATCTCGCTCCCCTGCTTCACAGACATCGCGTCCACCCTTCCTCGTCTTGTCGGGGCAGTGTCGATAGACCTCGCCTTCGCCTCGCAGAGCAAGACGTACACCAAGGCACTGTTCCCCTTCCTCGCCAGTCTGCGGCCAAAGTCAGCCGAAGGAGTGGCAGCGTTTGACAAGGGAGGGGAGTGGACGATGATCTACAACAAGGGATATCCGGGGACCGTGCTATTAAATGCTCAGAAGGTAGCCACGTATGAGGCCACGATCCAGGGAAAGTCCAAACTATCGCAGCCGGGGAACGTCCTCATGTACGAGTACGAGGATGACGTGTTTGCGCGCTCCGGGTCTTTAAACCGTTTTGTCGAGCAGTACTCTGGAATGCAGACGACGACTTCGCAGCGCTGCTTCGAGCTGTCGGACAGGTGGGACTTGTCTCCCCTCCGATGCCTCGACCAGCCGACATGGACGTTTGCATGGAAGCAGCTTGCGAAACTCCCGATCACAGTCGTCCTCAAGCTTCCTGGAGCCTTCGGGGCCTCAAACGTCTCTGTGCATCGCAAGATGCCCTTCGTGGGCTGGAAGAAATTCCCGACTGAGCTGACCCCAGCTGCTTCCTGCCAGCGTTTCGACAAGTACCCCCAGCTGCTGCATGAGTTGCTGGCGGTCAACTTCGTGCCTCAGGGAAGCTCGTCCAACATCGCCTGCTCGATCTCCAACGTGAAGTTCCCTCAGCCTCCTTCCTACCGGAGCAACATCGAGATGCCGACTGTCGCTGCAGACCCTGCCATGCGCAGTTGGATCGTCCTTCCCTTGACGGCCTACTCGGAGCCATGGGACATCATCGCTGGCAACGACAATCGTGACAGCTGGGCAGGAGCCGGCGGCCTGAGGTTGGAATGGCTGCAGGACATCGACTTCACTGGAGTGATTGACTTGCTGTGGAGGAAAAGCAACGTCTCCTCCTTGTTCAAGGATCCGTTGCAGGATTCTGTGCGGTTTGCGATAACGAGCCGAGGTCTGATGAGGTATCAAGCTAGGGGAGCTGTTGATGCCATCCAACAGAACCTTTCACTGCTCGAGTTGCAGTTCTTCTACCAGAGTGCTGTGGTTGCCAAAGAAAGAATCTCAATCTCTCCCCCGTCGCTTGCCTTCTTCTCCTCCCAAACCCGCCAGAGCCAATCGTACTCTGTGCTCTCAGTCGCGATCCCCTTTGCCGAGAACAGCAGCTCGTCGCTCAACTGGTCAAGCTCGGTGGTGGTCGGAGCTGAACTTCCCACGGCCCAGCTCAAGGCAATTCTGACAGAAAGGGCCCTCGATGGGAAGTGCTGGGAGAGGAGCACGTACAGATGCTTCCTCCTCAACTCGGTCGGAGTCGTCGTCGTCGACTCTCGACAGGCAGCAGGCAGCGTGCGGGACATGTCCTCGTGGCCGGAGGGGCTGAATTTTGTTTCAGACGTTGAGCCTGCGCTTGCTGAGGGCCTCGTCCGCTGCGGCTTCCTGCAGCCAAGGGATGATTCGAGGTATAACTCGCAAGGGAGCAGGAGCTCTGCCTATGAAGCCAACCGGGACATCCTGCCACTCGGCCCGCTGCTGCTCGTTGGCAGGACGCGAGGAGAATTTCACGTGCAGGAGGTGGCAGGAACGGATCTCTTCCTCGTCTTCGCCGACCTCACCCTGTCTGGTGACCTGGTCTCCGCGCAGTCCTGCGGGATCCTTTCCGACGTCTGCCCCTCGGCCGTGTACCCTCAGATATACGCTCCTTTGCCGAATCTCTGCCCCTTGGATGTTTCCTTCCAGAACACAACGTTCTTGCTCCTCCCTCCTGAACCTGTGGATCAAGACTTCCAGATGAGTGTGTTGAATTTCCTTCAGATCGCAGACTATTGCCCGGAGACTATCCCCTTCTGGCATCCCTACGTCATCACAGGAGCCTTGCTCCTCCTTCTCTTCGCCTTATATGTCGTCATGGCGTTGCAGCCAGATTCTTCGCTAGAGAGCAGCAGGAAGCTAGCATTGGCTAAGGAGCGACCTCGGTCCCTTTTCGACTTTACGTCCCCCTCGTCCCTCCAAACGATCGGCCAACGCTCTGGCATCGATCGGATCAAGGATGAAGTGCAGGCTGTCAGGGAAGAGGTGTCAAGCCTGATGCAGAGAGCGAGGGACATCGACGACTTTCAGCACGTGATTCAGCGACAGGATCGAGTCATCCAGCAGATCACCAAGTACGATCCTCTTGCTTCCTATCCCCGTTGACTTTGACTTTCAGCGCCAAGGCCTCGCTGAGCGACGCCATGCACCACGAGCTGCGGGGGGTGGCGAGCGAGCTCTGCAAGTACCGAGTACTGGCAGAGAACATCGGGAGGAGATGCGAGCACATCGAGAAGAACAGGCCGACCTTCTCGACCCTCCGCGTCTCCATGCTTGAAGCCGCCAACGCCGTCGCTTCCCTTGAGGTTCAACAACTCGCTGGTAGGTGGGGGGGGATGAATCACTCAAATCTGTGCAGAAACAACTGGCAGACCTCGAGCTCCCCTCCGTCTACGTCGTTGAGAGCTCGAAGCCGGACCTCGCTGAGAATGTCTGACGCTTGTCCTGCATGCACCCGCGTCTCTGACCAGTCGCGCAGAAGTCCGAGGCTCTCAAAGACGAGCAAGACTTCTACAGGGCGCACTATCCTCACCTCATCCAGGTGCGTAGCTCCCTCCCTCCCCCTCGGGGATGACATTATCGCAGTACTCCAACCTCCAGCCTTCAATCACGTTGAACACCGCGAGGTCCTCCTCGCGTGCCCCGACATCCCGGCGAGAACGGTGAAGGTTGACCCCCGTCTGTAAATTTTCTGTTTTCATGTCGCCGAGCGACAAGTTTGTTTCATTACAAGATCGATAAGCACGTTAACTTCCATCCGATGTTCTGCTACAAGAATGCAGAAATGTCGACTACATATCACATCCCACCGACCCACAGCTTCTGCTCCTCCACGATCCGGAGAAGGGGGATCGGGACAAATTTACCGTGAGTAAACGTTCGGAAGAGCCGATTCAGGATGTTTCAGGCTTTCCCACTCTCCTGCAACGCGGTCAGCTGCGAGACAGGAGCAAACTTCTCCTACTGGAAGGGTTCGCAATTGGAATCGACTTGATCGTCTTGTCGAACGGCGTGTCTTCGTACGCCTTACCCATCACTGGCTCATCGGCAACGTATTGCTGCAGCGACTAGTCAGCATTGCGATCTCCCTCCTCTCTCTCTTCCCACTTCCCACTCCTCTCAGCCCCTTTCCCGCTCCCCTCCCCTCCCCTCTCCTCTCTCTCTTGCCTTGAAAGGCTTTCCCGTCACGTGCTCGCCGATTTGCACCACTTGATCGAAATCAAACCCTCCGTCAGAGTCGCCCAGCGACTGACCAGAGTCCATCAGGCTAGAAGCATCGGCTCGCTCCCCTCCTCACCTGCAGCCTTGCCTGCTTTGCTGCTCGCACGTTCCACGTGTCCCCCTGCGGTTGCGGATCGCCTGACCCGTCGAGAGGGAGAGGGGGCCCCCGGGTCTCGCATCCCCCAATGCACAGCTCTGTCCTCCCTGATCCCATGAGGAGCATCGAGACCGCCATGGTTGACCCGAGAACGCACAGCAGAGCCTGGCGTCACACAAGCTCTGCTGTCAGTCTTGGGAGAAGTGCGAGGAGAGCAGGTTACCATACGGTCCCGCAGAGAGCTCTTCATTCTTGGACCCGGCAGAGAGTGTCTGGAACTTGGTTACAGCAGGTTTCAGCATCACGAGCGTCAGCCGACAGCAGACTCTCACTCCTCCTTCCTTTTTTCTTGTCCTGTCCTGCACTGAACTCGCCTCGCCTTATAATGTTTCCGATCCTTGAACCTGTCTCCTCCTTTCAACACTCATTTCCCCACCGGCATCTTACATCCTCCGACTTCCTGCTTCCTCTTCCTCCATCTCGTCAATCTTCTTCTACGCCTGTTGTTCTCTTGTTCTCTTTGGCCTTCTCTTCTGCACATCTCCTATTCCTTTGCTCCTTCCCTGGCAAACATTTTCATGGCCTTTCGCCAAATTACCGTTACAAATTGTAACGTGGACTCACAAAGAGGAGCCGCCCTGGCCATGGCGCAGTACAAAACGTGCCCCCCCCCCTCTCTCTCCTTCTCCGTCCAGCGTCCCCCCCTCCTCTCCCTCTGCCTCTCCCCCTCTCTCTCCCTGCTCTCCCTCCCTCCCACCTTTGACTCATTTCGTCTTCAACAGCAGCAGATACGATGGAGACGAGCACCTCTGCCCCTCACTGCCCACAAAAGGAATCTTGAAGCATGCGTCAACCCACGAGGAAGTGAGTCTGGTGGAGTGCGTTGCCCTATAGTATGGAAAAACTTTGCCTTGCCTGCACGTATCCTTCAGGCAAACAGAGAAAGGAGGGGAGGGGAGGAGGGAAGGAAGTGATGGGAGAGGAGAAGGGAGGCGAGGGCGACTTGCTGCTGGACCGCTGGCGAGGTCTAGGTTAAATCTCTTGACAGGAGATCAGAAGAAAACGAATAAGTTGAAGCCCTGAGGAAACAGTGGTCCCAATGTGTCAGCCGAAGAATGATCAGACACCTGTTGGCCTGAAGATGTCGTGACGACATCATCTCAAGTCAATGTGCAGCGGTCCTAGGCCCTGACTTGGAGCTGCCGCGAAGTCAGAGAAGAACTGGACTGTACTGACCGAACACGGTGTAGAACGAAGACCGATGAATGCACGTTACCTCCGGTCGAAGCTTGAAATGCGGTGGCCACACAATGTGTAAATTCGGATCACACGAGGGCTTAGCCTGACGATGAACGACGAGCGACGAATTACTGGACAAGCCATTGCTGACCAAGTAAGGTGATAGGATTAGCAGGATAAGAGATCAAACGCCGATTATCCGAAGGAAGGGAGGAGCAGCCGGGACCACGAGCGTGGACACAGGATGATGGTAGAAGAAAAGTGTTATGATGTAACAAGAAGGTAGAATGAATCAGGAAGATATAATTAGGAAGGAAGATCAACTACCGACGTATGTTTTTTGTTTAGGAAGATATGAATTCGTCGGCAGATGAGGTGCTTGACATTTTGAGTGATTGAGGGAAGGCGGATTTGTCCATTATACTTTTTGTACTGACTCAGTAAATCGAACTTCGGAAGCTATGCGTAAATTGTGTCCTATAACCGCTGAATCATCCTGCTCTTGCAACAGGCTTTTGGAGCGATCCAACGTGTCACTGATGTCCTTAGGACTGATCAGTGACGGATCACAAGTTCGGCCAGCCAACACGGTGACCGCGGCGCGCCGGGCCGGCACTTGTCACAGTCACTGACTCTGTGAGTGGCCGCCCGGCCGGGCCGGCAGGGCAATCATCAATTTCCAGTCAACAAAATTTTGGGGCAATCATTTTCCAATCAACAAAATTTTGGGGTAATCATTTTCCAATCATCTTTTTAACAGTGTAATCATTTTCCAAGCAAAACTCCCCGACATGACTCGTATTTTTTAGTCAAGGAGATAAAAACGCATTGAAGCAAAACTTCCGTTACGAGGAATCAACGGATATTTTCCCGCCTTTTTTTTACCCCCCACCCCTCTAAATCCCTGATGAGGTACCCGGGGTAGCATCCTCAGCCCACAAACTTTCTACCATGGAGAAAGCGGCGGGGGGAGAAGCAGGAGTAGGAGTTGAAAGCAGACTGGAGGCTCTGGGTAGACAGCTGGAAGCTCTCAAGCTAGACAGCGACAAGAGGCTGCTAGCCTTGGAGGAACACTATGAGAAATCAGACAACAGGATTCGAGCCTTAGAGGAAGACTACAGGCGCTTACAGGAAGAGAACAAGATTCGAGACCTACAGGAAGACTACAGGCGCGTACAGGAAAACTACAGGCGCCAGAAACTCAGCATGAAAGTAGCGTGCAATCTACGATTTGGTTACTTCGACGACCTTTGCTCTACTTTTGTCCAGCTTCCAAAGGCTCCTGCAGTATTTCGGCAAAACAAATGTCTGGCTTTTGAACAGCTCGCGCAGGACTTACCCGCCGATAAAGATTGCAATAAGGGACATATCACTGAGGAGAAAGCTTTTGACCTGGAGGGCTGTAAAGTTAACTCAGACTTGATCGAGCGATCGCACTTGGTCCCAAACAGTGCTACATGTCGAATCGACTGGGGGGTTATTGTGCAGAATGCCCTTCCAGAGGGCTTGCGTTCAGATGAAGTTGCTAAAAAGGTTTTGTTTGGGTGTTCTGATCAGGACAAACACATACCAGGCATTGCGGACCTTCCTTTCAACTTCATCTACCTTGGTGGCCAACGAGAACATCTAGACAGCAAAGCGGCTCTAATGTTGCTTCCACTCCTATCTCCTCAGCAGCAATTCGAGTGGAAAGGCGAAGGGTACAAAGCGATTTTGATCGGTGCACAAGGAACAGTTTACAAGCAGACGTATTTTAAACTTGATACGAAAGCTGTTCTGAAGAACTCAGAGTACGAACCGTGCCAACATCATGTGGACGAGGAGTCTCTCGTCAAGGAAATCTGCCGTCCGATGAGGCAGAACTATTTGCTGCCCACGTTGTATCAAGGTACTGTAGCATTGAATGTGTTGACCAATGACATCCGACATCGGTCCTAGATGACAGGGAGGTGCTAGATCAGTCCCTACAGCACATTGAAACTCTTTACAAGGACGTTTGTTTGATTCAGTGCGAAGCTCCAAAAAGTCTCAAACAATTGCTGCAAGATGGCGGATTCTGGAACCAAGACTCCAAGCGTTTCAATCTCACAAAAGTCTCAGGGTTCGATGATCTCAGGGATAAACTTAGAAACGAGAAGAAGGTCAAGGCTTTCAAGGGACTTAAGTCTGAAACTGGGCAGCCAGTGGCGGAAGCACTGCCATGTTTTCGCGTGATCACGTTCAAAGGAGACAGTCAGGAAGAGCAAGATTTAGAGCTTCACACGGCTCCACACCCTCTTCTTCTCTCGCTTCGCTCGATGAACGCAATCACGAATCACTTTTACGGAGACTTGCCAAATGGGAGATCAAGTTTGCTTCTTATGTCCTGTTACGGCGGCCTGGAGGAAGGGATGGCATTCGATTGTGAACAATGCTTGCGAAACGCGTTTGGAGAAGAATACGACCCGAAAGAGAAGTACGTCATGGGACCTCATGGCCCTGAGATTCTGTCTTGCGACGGGTAATCCCGTCCAAGGTGCCGCAATGACTCCAGAAAACAGTCCGGAGGCGTTACTGTATGCGGCCGAGCGTCAGTGTGGATCGAATACCAGCGTGTCTCCCAATACAAGTCAAGAGTCGGAATATAGCGCCGCGAGTACTGTCCAAAGGGGCCTTTTTGGAGACTGAAAGAGTGATCAGTGAAGTTACTAGTAAAAGGCTCAAAGCCGGCGCGGATTGTTTTGATTTCCGACAAACTCGGAACTTTCCATGATTTCCGACAGACTCGGGCTTTGAAAAATTACTTCATCAATGTAGTCGTGCACGAGCTGTTTTGGCGCAGCGTGACCGCTTGGGCGTAGGATGTATGGCAGCCATGATTCTCTCCCTCACCCGGCTGGGGGAGGGGGGCGGGGATCACAGTGAGCAGCTTGTTCCGGTGAGTCAGCAACGATGCTTGTAGAGACTCCTGTACATTCAGTGTCATGTTACACTCCTCACATGGGCCCCAGTGGTCCCATCACAGTCAAAACATGTTCTTTCAAAGATATGAGAAATGTCATTGAATTCGTGCCCTGACATCCTAATTCAATACATCAATGTACTAGTCTGCTCGCAATCAAGTCGAGATCAGCGTCCCGATCAGCCACGGCGCTCAACTCTTGTAGTTGTGGACTGTGACGACAACAGCTCAAGCTATTCCGCCTCCGGAGGGGCAGGGGATACGGTGTAGAATACTTGCTGCAGCATCATCTGCTGCATCTCTATCTCCTTCATCCTCACCTCAAGCTCCATCTTCCGCAGCTCACGTTCCTGTCTCCTCTCCTGCAGGCGACTCAGAGACCCCCTCCTCCCCTGTGCAAGGACACGATGCTTACCTCGAGCTCCAACTTGCGGATCTCCCGATCCTCCTTCCTTCCCTGCAGCTCCCGCATCATGTAGTTGGTGATGAAGGTCCATTCTTCGTTGTCCGACATTCGCACTGCCGTGCTGCTCCTCTTGGCCGTATCGCCGTGAGTTTGAGCCTTGGAGGACGAGGGAGGAGCAGCCGACTCGTCGTTGGAGTCCTCCGAGCCGTGTTGGGCTTCCTGGGCGCTCGCCATTTCCAGCTTCCTCTTGCGGATGCGCTGCATCGCCATCTCCAAGGCCGGGAAGTTTTCGGTCTGCGGCTCTCGCTTCTTCTGCTTCGACAGGGTGTAGTCGTCCAGCCGCTCCACCACCTCGTGCCACACCAACTCCCACTGCATGGAAGGGTCGGTCGAGCCTCGCACCACGTCTGGCGGGTACGTGTTCCCTTGTATCTGGCGGACTCGGAACTTGCGTATCATCTCATCGAACTTGCTCTTGATCGTCTTCCAGGACATGGAGCCGAAGATCTCGTCCTCTGCTGTCAGCTGGTGCTTCAGGCGGCACCACTGCTGTACCTGCCCCTCAGAGGAGTGATCGGGTTGACGGAGCCACGCCTTGGCGACCTTGAGCACAAGAGATCGCATCTTCTCGTCGTCCTTCGGCCAGTGGGTCCGCTTCTGCCGCTGCTGCTGGTTCGCTTCCTTTCCATCCGCCTGGCTGTCGGCATTGTCAAGCACGTCCTGGTCGTCCCCGTCGTTGTGCGCTCCATCAGCCGCCATGTCCCTCCCGCTGTCCTTCATCTGATGATCCATTTCCTGCTCGTCCACCTTCGCCGCCCCTGCCATCATCCCCGCACCCCCCAGGCTCGCCCGCACGTCAAATGCTGGCGCGACATTGCCGTGGGTCTGCACCAGTCTGAGGCGGGGTTGAACTACCCGGGGTGGAAGGGAGGGAGGAATTTGCTGCACAGTGGCAGCGCAAGGGAGGGCGCGAGCATGGCGGCAGCATGCTGGTCGTTGTGGATGTTGGGTATGAGAGGTAGAACGTTTCTTCGATATTCTCCAGACAATCTTGTCCTTAGCCGAGCATGACTGAACGAGCCGCCGGCTGACAGTGAAGGACATCAAGACTTGATCGTTTCTCAGCTTGGTGAAATCCTCCGCAATTGTGGACGTCGTTGCTGGGCTTCGTAGAAGAGATTTGGGTAGATGAGTGCTGCAAGGATGCTGCAGGACTTACAGATCAAGACGACAGAGACGAGCTCAGTGCCTTTGATCAGGTAGGATCCTCATCATCTTCCTTCCGATACCCTCCCCTCCTCGTTATCCTCGTTCTCATCGTTCTCCTCCTCTCCACCTCCTTCTCTGTCCTCCTCCCTCATGATCAAGGCCATGTCTTTTGGGTTCATGACTTGCTCTCAGCCGGTCGAGGTCGCAGGACTTCCCTCCAGGGAAGGGGATCGCGGTGCTGCTATCATCGAGACGGAAGGACCTGGCAGCGTTGATGCAGGCCTTGGACGTGCCGAACCTTTACGTGGAGGACGATCGCTGTGAGCAGGGGGTCTGCCATGAGGACCTTAGTGCTTCATGGTTGTCGATCAGAGGGTACCTCAGGCGCTGGTCTAAGGGGGCGGAGGGCGATGAGCTCTGCCGTTCGATTGTCCTCTCCTGTCTGAGCGCGTTCTCCGAGAACGAGCAATCACGATCGAAGAGAGCGTTCCTGCTCCTGACAGCCCTGGTCTCCGACCCCAACACCCAGCCGGCCTGTTGTGCCATATTCTCCCACCTCCTGCAAGGGGAAGATAAGACTAACAAGCTCCGGGTGTGCAGTTTTGTCTTCGAGCTGTTTGCTGCGAGGGTCTTTGGGGACGACTGCCTCCACCCGATCCAATCTCAGAGGAGGAGAGGCCACTGCAGCCTGAGTGCCCTGCAGCGGGCAAGAGCAGCGACGAGAAACGCTCTAGAGCTGGTTTTCCCGATGGAATCGCTCCTGGTCGAGATTGCGAGGAGGGAGGCTCGGCACCTGGATGACGACCCCAAGTTCAAGCCGATGCCCACCCTTCTCACCACCATGTCAGCTGATTGCTGGTAAGTCCCCAGATGACGTGGTAGCAGCTCACCTTCTCTCAGCATCTTCAACTACGTGGCGCTAGGGCAGCTGTACCTGTCGGAAGAAGGAGGGGAGGAGGAAGAGACCTCGGACGAGGAGGGACGTGCCCCAGCCTCGGAGCTTTTCTCATGGTCAAGGCTCGAGAGCATGTTGAACAACATGATCGCTGTGTTGGACAGGTTGGAAGTCTGGTTTTCATCACGCAAAGATTTGCTGGTTGCCGTCGTTAGAGTCACCAGGAAGAGAATTACTGATTGCCGGAAGACATACGAGCAGATTGCAATTTATGACCATCTCAATCACATTCCAGAGGAAGAGAAATCGATCAGACAGTACGGCGATGAGCTGATGAGGGTGGTTTGGTATCAATGGGCCTCGACAGGTCGGAACTTCATTCAGAACTACAAAATGCCTTCAGAGGAGTTGAAGGTGAGACGTATCCTTTTGGATCTTCTCTGCAAGGCGTATGGATGTTCTTAGGGCCTGTTTGGTTTCTGATCTTGAGTTGCTTTTGGTCCATCAATTTCTGTCTTTGTCTATCTAAGATGGAGACGATGTTTCTGTTCAGCTGACCTACATTGCATCTTCAGGAAGAAATCGACAAGCTGATTAACCTGCTGCCCACACAAGTGATTGCCATGGGAGCAGAGGAGAAGCAGCTTAGCTCGAATGCTTGTTCCTACGCCCTTATGTCCATCTGCCTGCTGCTTTCTCGCTGCAAGAGTAAGCTCGCTGCCGCCATCCTAGACCACAAGAGCTCCGTGCTCTTCCCGCGCCTGATGGAGGCCTTGCACTTCAACGACGACGAGATCTCCCAGCTCTCTACGGCTCTCTTTGGAGAGATCCTAGCGTCAATCGCGAACGAGAAGACGATCTTCGATATGGTCCCTCCCCTCCTTTCCCTCCTCGATGAAGACGACGCAAGCTCGGGGGCCGCGTGCGGACTCATCGCTCGAGCGTGCGTGTCTGCCAACAGTGAGGTTGCCCAAACCTCCATCCTCTCGGAAGTTCTCAGGGCTGTCGATAGCGAAGGCAGAGTGAGGCGAGCCAACGGCCTGCGGGTGTGTACCTCCCTCCCCCTTCCCTTCCCCTTCTGCCTCGTTGACGTTTCGTCCCCCCCTGTCAGACGCTGCAGGAGGTGGTGAACCTGAAGAAGTCCGTCATCACCGACAAGGGCCGAGAGCAGAGCAGAGCCACGAGCCATGTCCTCTTCAAAGCAATCTGCAAGGCCCTCTTGGACCGGCTGGGAGACGAGGAGCTCACGACCAGGTCCTCCTCCTCCTCCTCCCCCTCCCCCCCTTCAGTGCTTCCCCTGCTCACTCGCGGCAAGGTGCAAGTCAGCGAAGCTACTCGCCTTCAGCGAGCCTGCATCTATTCTCCCCATCCTCTGCCGGAGGCTGTACGACCGCGATGATCGAGTGAGGTCGGCTGCCGAGCTGGCACTCGTGACGGTTCTTGCGGGTCTTCTCCCACCCTCTCCTCCCTCTTGCTGTTTCTGATCCTGCTCGCACAGAAGGAGAGGACCCCGAGCAGGCTGCCCGCGCGTTCTTGGATATCCTTCGCCTCCCCTTCGCCTCTCTTGGGGAACCCTCTGATCAGACCCCGGTGCATCCTGGTGACATCAAGCCGTCAGTGGCTGCCCCAGCCGGGAGGGAGACGGAGAACGATTGGCCGGAGAGAGCGCTCCGTCAGTGGAGCAAGTGGGCCGAGGGTGTTCCAGACGCACTCTGGCGGGGCTCGCTGCTCCCCGTGATCCTCTCCAAGACTTTTGGAGCGCCTCGGGATCACGTCCTTGTTCAGGTCTGCTGGTTGAAGACAGCAGGCTGCCAGCCCACTGATGATGTGGCAGGCGTGCTCGAGGATAGCGGCGGTCCTGGCGCGGCATGCCGACCTTGTCATGTCCATGGTCCTCGACAGGGTGGAGCAGATCGAGTTGCAGATCAAAGGCGCTTGCCAAGTACGAAGGACGACGGGAAGAGAGGATGAGGCTGACGCTGTCGCTTTCAGGTCATGGAGACCAGCGAGGTCTCCGAAGAGATCGTCTTCCTGAGGCTGAGCCCCATGTTGATCCTCAAGCTTCTCCCCACGGCTGCTTTCAGGATCCAGGCCGTTGAGGAGGCGTTCGATAGGCCTGGAGAACTTGTCAGGCAGTACGATCGCAAGGGAGGACGGGACTGCCTCTTGCCCTTGCACGAGCTGGAGAAGGAGCTGCCGTGCTCGTCGGACGTGCCTTGCAAGACCATGTCGCGGCTGGTTCGCCTCCTCTACCAGCGGATGATGTCAGATGCCGAGCTGAAGCCGATCCGAGAGGTCGACGATCTCGCTCCCTCTCTTACCTCAGCTGACACCTGCAGCAGGTCTCTGCTCAGGTGCTGGGCTGCGTCAACCCGGGATGGATCGTCGTAAGCGTGTCTCGACTGATCAATGAGCTGACCTCTAGCCTGGATGCAGCAGCATCCGGAGTAGGAGGAGGGGGAGGGGGAGGGGGAGGGGGAGGGGGAGGGGGAGGTGGTGGTGGAGAGAAAGAAGTCGCCGAGGGGAAGTCAGCCTTGTTCTATGTCATGTTCGCCTTTAGAGCCCACGGACTGCAAGCCTGCATGCGACAAGTCTACCTGCGCCTGCTGCTCAACCTCATGGCCGTCGACAAGGAGGGAGAGGAGGTAGAGCACGTGCTCCGGGGATGCTGCGCGGCCGTCGCTGAAGCCCTCGTGGCTGTGCTGATGATGAAACCGCAGCCGGAGGAAGCGGAGGATCACGGCAGGCAGACTGAAATGGTGCAGGGGGAAGGAGGGATCCTCTCCTCCTTCTGCGACCTGATGGGCGGAGACTTCGAGCTGGGCAGTGCGAAGTTGGAGAGGATAATGCAGGAGACTGAGGGAGAAGCGGGTCCGGGCATCGAGACTCGCCTTCAGTCGTTAGAGGAGGAGGGGAGGACGAGGCTGCGGTTGAGAGTCTGTGAGGTGATGAAGCACGTGGCGCGCGAGCTGCCAGGCTCCAGTCTCGCCATGGTGAACTTCTCCAAGAGGATCGCTCCGACACTGCTCGATCTCGGGTGCCGCCTGCAGAGTCCAGCAGCCCTCCGAGCAAGTGCCCTTGAGGCCTTGTTCTTCATCGCTTACACTCTTGGAGAGCGAGCGGAGCCACTGGTATCGGACCTGCTCGACGTCGCTGAGCGAGGACTAACGGTGAGGGAAGAGAAGGTGGGGTGCGATGGAGGTTGGGGAATTGACAGGAGGAGTAGGCGAAGGATGAAGCAGTCCGGCTGCATGCCCTCAAGATCGTCGGAGTTTGTGCAACTGCGGATGCGGAGACGTTTGTCAAGGACGAGGAGAGGCTCGTGCGGATTCAAAGTCACTTGGTCGGGATGGCAAACATGGAGGAATCAACGTCGGTCCGCGGACTTGCCTGCAAGCTGAGCCAGCTCATCGTCCCTGCGCAAGGAGCCGGTTGAGCCTTTGAAAAAAGGAAGAGAGGGAGGAGAGGACGAGGAGGACGTTGGGGGTCTTGGTGGACGTCGGAGATGGCGGAGAGTTCGATCGGTTGATTGTCAAGCGAAGACAGTGACTGAGGAGAGAAGACGAGAAGGAGCATATTTAGAGCAAACATCTCGGATACATTCTGCTGAAGTCAGACCATGGGATATGTGAACTGAAGTGCTCACTCTCACATGGCAAGGCAAGGAGGGTCTAGGGAGCCGATGGTGCTCGTGGCTCCTCCTGCTGCTCTAGGGCGATTTCGTGGAATCCTTGACCCACTTGAGGTAGTCGGGGAGTCCGGCGACCACGTCGGTGCAGATGAACTCCTGGGTTATTGCATACGTGAGGGAGCAGAGGGCAGACAAGGAGAGGGACGGGAAGAGAAAGGGAAGGAGAGGGAAGGGAAGGGAAGGGAAGGGAAGGGAAAGAGAAGGAGGGGGGAGGCAAGGAAAAGAGAAGGAAGGGAAGAGAAAGGGTCGACAGAGATGTTGAAGTAGAGAAGAGGAGATGAGGATGCAGTGGAGGAAGGGAGATACCGGGGTATCGTAGGGATGATGTTTCTTGACGTGCTGAGCAACCTGATCGGTGAGGGTGTCACGAGTCTTGACCATGAGCAGGAGCTCCTGACAGGACGTGAGAACTGCAGGGGAGGGAGTGAACAAGCAAGCTTCTGACTTTCTCAGTCTCGATCTTTCCTTGCCACAGAAACTTGCTCTCGATCCCCGGGATGATGTTGACACACGCAGCTAGCTGGGACTCGACCTGTGCACCAGCACGTTGTGACCGCTGGACGTATGCTGGGGGGAGCGCCATACCAGGCTTTGCGAGAGCTTGTCTGCCACCTGCACGCTCATGAGCACGCGAGCCTTGCGGCAGCTTTGCCTTCCCCACCTCCTTGCTGGGCACTGTGATGTAGCAGATCCTTGCCCCCGTAGAGCTCGAACTCGAGAGCATGCGCGCAGTCAACGACCTGACGGCCCGGGTGTCATCGATGGCGAGACGTTGAAGCTCTCGAACCTCAACATGCCGGGGAAGACAACCCAAGCGCCTACGACAGTTGCTCCGATGACCAACAAGCTGCGGGAGTTCTGAAAGTCGATCAAACTACCTCTCATGGAACTCCTGAGAAGGAGACGGGGAGGTTAATGAGAAGGAACAAGAAGGAGAAGGAGAAAGACAATACATCTCTTGATCATCATTGCACCCATTCTTCTTGATCCCTGTCTCATTAACCACCGCAACCACCACCACTATCACCACTACCACCACCACCTTGTTCTTGTTCTCTCCCTATTGCTATCTTCCTTTTTTGCTATATCCATCCACTAACTCATTATGATCTCCTTCTGCTTCTGATCCTACTTTTTCATCATTTCACTTTCGCTCTCGCTCTCGCTCCCCCTATCGCTTCCCCTCTCCCCCTCCCCCTCCCCCTCCCTCCCTCTCCCTCCATCAAAGTTTGCCTTCTGAGCGGATGCCCAACATAAAAAAACCCTTTACGCAGAAATAAAAAAACTTTTTTCATTCACCCCACCCCTTTAGACTGAAGGAAGTGGGTACTTGATGGGGTGGGCAGGCCGGATGGGGGAGGTCCAAATACTGGACATGCATGTGGAGGGATGTGAAGGGCGATGGGAGCGAACGCGAGGAGAGGAGAGGGGAGAGAGGAGGAGAGAGAGGAGGAGAGAGATGAGAGGAGAGATGAGATGAGAGGAGAGACGAGAGACGAGAGAAAGAGAGCTTGATCGAGCTTGGTCGAGAAGGAGATAGAGACAACAGCGTCAGAGGTACGTACCAGGGGAACCAACGTGACAGGCCTCGTGCCTTCCACATCGAACTGCAGCAGGAGGTCTGATTCAAGGCGCTCCCAATGGTCAGGGAGAGAGATTCTGACATAGAGGAGGGAGCGGTGGCGTCTGGGGGAACCCACCTGGGAGGTCAGAACATGGTGAAGGAGGAAGAGGTATACGCACGTGGTGGTTCAACCGACGAGGGGGTGGGCGAGACGGCGAAGGCTCTTGTGAGCCCCAGGCACGTTTACGGCCTTCCTTCTCCCCAGGGCAACATCCGCTTGGTGGCAACCTTGCGACTTCCTCAGTCGGCATCATCGCAAGCAGAGAGGGGGGAAGGTGGGGAATGGGACGACGAGAGCAAGGAGCGGGTGGGGAAGGGAAGCGATCGGGAGTACCGGCACCTCACCTGCGTGGACTGGAAGCCCTCGTCCTTCAATGATCTTCTCACCACCGCCAAGGTCATCGAGGACTTCCAGGGGTTCTCCCCCAAGTTCGTCGAGCTGGACCGGGACACTGATCTCAACGTCCCTCCTGGCTGGCTGGTGGACCCGTCCGCTTCCTTCCAGAGCCTCTCCGGCTGCGACTCGGCGCTGGTGTCCAGAGCTCTGGCTGACCTGCGCATCTCGGCAGAGTTGGCGGGAGTGAACTCAGACGACGCTGACTTCATCGCCTCGGACGCCACTATGAAGGCTATCTTTGCCCTTCCCTTCTCAGAGGCCAGCGTCAGCGTCACGGTCCACCGGGTCGACCAGTCGCTGATCTTCAGTGGGATCATAGGAGGGGATGTGAGGTCGATGAAGAAGAACGAGAGCTCGACGCTCTTTGAGGAGCAGGAGGAGGAGTGCGACCAAGGGCTGGGCAGCGGGAGAGGAGAGCCTGTGGACGAAGGCGACGAGGCCGAAGGCAGGAGGAGGCAGCGGGCTAGCGAGGACAGCTACCTGTTCTCAAACTTGATGTCCTACTCCATCTCCAGCAATAGCACAGACGAGGCGTCGACAGCAGTCGGGGAAGAGCTGGAGGAAGGGACCGTGGTCCCATCGCGGGAGGCCCAGGGCAGGCAGCGGCCTCAGCAGCATCTCGATTTGCCCATCTTCCAGGAGCACGAGGGCAGCAGCAGCAGCAGCGGCAGCAGAGATAGGAGGGTGCAGGACTTGCAAGGAGGACGCGCGAATTTCTTCCGCCGGGCCGTGCACTTCCAGTTCAACCAGCTGAACCTGCTGCTGGGCAGTGACACAGTCATCTTCAACAGGGGCCCCCGGAGGTCGAAGCTGAGCCTGAGGCTGGAGGACGCGGACGCGCAGGTGAATCAGCAGACGTGCTTGGACTACTGGCTGGACAACATCTTCAACAACCTGTCGGAGACGGCCGTGTGCTACCACAAGGAGGGGAGGGTGCACGGGTACCAGCTCGTGAGGACCGAGGAGATTCCAAAGTGGAGTGGTTTCTCCTTCGAGCCCAAGGCCGTGATGGAGAGCGCGTCTTCCATCCTCCAGTTCCTGCAGCAGAACTGCACCAAGGAAGCAGGGACGTACTGGCTATGCCGAGCCGAGGGAAGCGACGAGCTGCAGCTCTTCTGCCTCGACGACGCGGACAACAAGCACCGCAACGCTCTCTCCCAGCCCGTCGGCCTACTCTGCTTCCGCATCGCGCGCAAGCTGCAGCAGCGTGACCGGGAGGCGATCGAGGAAGGAGGAGCGTCAAAGCACAGGCAGAGGACGGCAAGGCTCTTCCTCAACGCCCTAACTGTCCTGGACGAGACTCTGCACGCGGCGACCGTCTGCCTGTGCCACGAGGGGCTGGCAGACGCCATGGTCGGGGCCGAGTGGCTGCCGGAGAGCGAGGGGATGGTGCCGAGCGAGGGAGAGTTCTACGTGGACGAGAACGGAGACCTGCAAGAGTCGTACCGTCGTCCCCGCAGGGAGGACGAGGGCAACTTTCGACCCAACGTGGGGGACACGGCGGAGTGGGGGGCAGGATATTCCCTGCCAGACCTGGAGAACGCGGAGGCGCACTACAGTGAGGCGCTGAAGATGATGGATGGACGCCACGGGGGGAGGGAGGAGGAGGAGGGGGGGGAGGAGGAGGCCAGGAGACTGAGGACGCTGCGGCGTCTGAGGTGCAAGGCATCCAAGTGCGGCATCGCCATCGGGCTGCGACTGCTGAAGAGAGGGGACCTCCCCAACGCGCTCATGCGCTCCGTGAGCGCGTACAAGAGGTGCGTCAGGGGGCAGAGCAGGGAGGAGGAGGAGATTGTGAGCGAGGCGATGGAGCTCTGGGCGGACATCCACGAGGCTCTTTGCGGGCTGTCGGTGGAGAGGGTGAAGAGGCTGAGGGGTCAGCTGGTAGAGGTGCAGGAGGAGGAGCGGGTGCTTCACTTTGGGGACTTCGAAACCCTGGGCTGCTGGAAAGGGAGCAAGGGGGAGGAGGACGAGCAAGGGACGGACCTGACACCGCTGTCGCATCCCCTCAGCTCGGACCTGGAGGACAACTGCAACCACGCGATCCGCTACCTCATCCGTGCCATCCAGCACTGCCACACCCACAGCAGGAGGAGTGACCTGATGGTGAAGCTCGGTAGCGTCTACGAGAAGCTCGGGGAGCACTACACGGGCACCGGGCGGTTCACCCGAGCTCACCAGCACTACCGGCAGGGGATGCAGCTGTTCCAGTCCATCGGAGACAGCCACTCCTCCTCCGCCCTCGCCTTCAAGCTCGGCAAGCTCTTCTCTGCTCGCTCGCACTCGTCGCCTCCTCTCCCGGGCCTGTCGCCCGAGCAGCTCAACGACCTCTGCCGCGCGCGGGGCCTCGTGCAGGCAGCACGGGATGAGATCGAGAAGCTGGCGAGCTCTCCTTCGGCCCTCTCAAACAAGCGGATGAAGTCACTGAGGTGAGGGAGAGTAGGGGGAGGCGCAGGGCAAGGGGAGGGCAAGCAACGGGGGAAGGGGAGTGCAGGGAAGGGGAGGGGAGGGGAGGGAAGGGAAGGGGAGGGGAAGGGGAGGGGAGGGGAGGGGAGGGGAGGGGAGGGATCTGGTAGGATGACTCATATGATGTCAGGGAACTTCTTTTGAGCGTCAAGGAAGAGCTTGCAGACATAGGTCAATCCTCCTCCTCCTACCCCTGCTCCTCTTCCTCCTCCACCACCACCTGCTCCTCCTCCTCCTCCTCCTCCTCCTCCTCCTCCTCCATCACCTCCTGGTCTCACTTTTCTTTGCAGACATGGCGCTAGGGGTTGGCAAACTTCATGCTCCTCAGAGTCCTAAGATCGGGTTTCCCTTCGCAGCCCTCACTCCTAAGAATGTAGAGAAGCTTTGTCCTTAACCACTTCTTCCTCTACCTCCTCTCCCGCCTCCCCTCCCGACTCCCTTCCCGCCTCCTCTACCTACAATCTTTTCTCTCTTCCTAGTACCGGTCCTTCATCCTCCATTCTTTTCTCCCAGTCCTCATTCTCATCGGGTGTTGTTGCAGGAGGACCCGACCGACGAGGAGGCGATTCGCTCTGATCGCGCAGACGTCTGCTTGCTGCGAGCTCTGGCTGTCTACGAGAGCCTCTCCCATCCCCAAGCCTTCGCTGCCCACATCTACTTGTCCTCCTTCATGCTCAAGGTCTGCGGGCGAACCATTCTGCCCCTCCCTCTCCCGCTCCTCCTCCTCCACTATCACCACCACCTCCTCCAACACCACCTAGGGATCCTCCTCCTACTCAAGATCCTCCTCCATCTCCTGAGCTTCTCATCGCACTTTGTCAGGTGGAGATGGAAGTGTCCGAGGCCATCAAGTCTTGTGGAGCAGGGGAGGAGAAGTCGCTCCTACGCACCCGCAAGGTTCTACTCTCCTGCTTTCTCGCCTTGGCTTGCTGGCTGACAGATCGCAGACTTGGAGGCAGAGGGCAGCTCGCCACATGCTGCAAGCAAGGGCGTTGGCGCCCAGCATGGCTGAGCAGGTAGAGGCAGGACGAGGGGCGCGGGAGGAAGAGGGAGGCCATGGTGGTGGTCATAAAGAATGAGGAGAAGGAAGTAGTGTTGTGGGGGGGGGGGGGGGGTGTAAAAGAAAAAACGGGGAATTTGTTGGGGAAAAGGGGGGGGAAGAGTAA